CCGTTTGGGCTGGGGCGAATGAACTCAGCCATTTCTTCGTCAAAGTCAGACCAGTCGTTAAGGTGACTTTTGAATTGATGCTTTGAGGTGGGGATTTGCTTCTCCGGCATCTCACTTATTTCATTTTTAATAGGCTGTGGACTCTTATGCGTCCCAACGCTTTCATTGGGGCTTGAGATCGGGTTTCTCGTGGGGAACTCAGGTACTTCCCCCAAATCATCATCATCATAGGAATCTGACCAGTAAAATACTTCTTTCAGGCGAGGTACACCTTTTCTATCGGGGCGATCTAGGGTACATTCTGTCTCGCGGGGGTTGTCTACAACAGGTCGGTCATTATTTAAAATGACGGTCCCAACGTCACTGGGGGCTGTGGACGTCGACGTGGCTTCATCATCGCTGGGCTATGGAGCTCTGCTAGGTGCGGGGCTGCTCACAGCACTTATCGCTTGGGTGAACCCTAGGTTCACCCTGTCCGAGTTTTGGATACTGGACTTAGAAGGAGGCTCGGCCTAGTGGTGGCCAGGTCCGGTTCTGAACCACGGTTCGAACCTGAACCTTTTCGAACCTGACCAGCGTCCAGTTCAAGGTTCGGGCAACAGGTAGAACCGGACCATTGGTCCAGTCCTCGGTTCGAGGATGATGCAGACTTACAGAACCGGTTCAGAACCGGTTTGAACCTGTTCGAACCGTTAGTAGTAAGTCTTTGAATTAGTAAGAATAGATCAAGTGATCCGCACTTACTTTGACAGATTGTTGATATCATGGACTCATCTGCGACTCCGATGCCTTGACGACGACACTTCAGATCCTCAATCAATGAGTTCAAGGTAATTTATCAAACAAACTGACATTTTTTCAATCAATAATCATGGCGCCGGCTTAAAGCTGCAGCGCATGAGTTCTATGGTGAGTTGTTTCCCGCCCACAATCATGACTGACCAGTGTGCTGTTGGCGCTGATGGCAATCTCAAAGATGCTTCCGAAATCGTGTGGCACAACGACCCAGATGACGAGTGCCCTCTACCTGCCCCTGGTCCCACCACCGAACAATCTACTGCCCCAGTGCACCATTTCTTTACTGGTGCTCGACGTAGCGCTCGAGCACCAAGACCTTCGACGAAAATTGTCGACCCTGACAATGTTGCCTCGTCAAGTTCAGCCCGGAGCAAGCGAAAGGCTGTGGACAGTGGTCCAGGGACCAGTCGGCGAGTTGCACGCAAGGTAATTCCAGCTTCCAGTGCTTCTAGTGACGATGCAGGCAATCCGGACGGCGAAGATGACGCAGAGTGCACAGACGACGGTGCAGAGGCTTCATATGTGCAAACTAAAGCTATGGGGGATGCGGACCGTGAGGCAGGCAGGACTCGTCTCAAAAGCGAACGTACTGCAGACGTCCGCACCATCTTTGTCAAAAAGGATGATGTGTCCGAGCCTGGACATGTTTGTACCATCTGCGAGTGAGTTTTAGTAATCATACCAATATTACCTTTACTTAACTGACTTGGTTCTGTAGAAAGAACGGTGTCCCAGCTCACCATTGCTTCTTCAAAGGAGGTATGTCAACACTTCGTACCCATATCGCTAGGCGAGTGCCATATCTTTGCTGACTAAGTACTATTGCTGACGGAGCAGTGTTGTAGGCATCCCGACCACTTTGCTGTTTATCAAGCACGCTGCAAGAATCTGCAAATCCCTATGCATGCGCGAGCATGTCCAAAGTCTGATGGGACTCTCCAAAGGTAAGTTTCCTCTGTAATCTACTTACTACATACTCATTGTGTAATTCAGTCAAGGAAGTCTTGATGGCATTGTAGTTCATCAGCCTCGGGCACCCGTTTTCACTACCAGCGGTCTTCTCGACTACATTGTCAAGCTAGTTGTATGTGAAGACAAGGTAATTCAATTGTTCATATTCAAATAACAACACACGACTAACCAAATCATACAGGCATTCCAACTGGTGGACAAGGGACCATTTCGGCGCTTGCTGACATATGTCCGACCAACCTTGTCTGACAAGGATATTCCGCACCGAAAGGCCCTTCGCAAGGAAATCATCAAGAAAGCCAAAGCTACTGAAGTGCGCGTCAAGGAAATTCTCAAGGTATGTACTTGTATTATTTCATGAGCCCTGACTCGTACTGATGCTGTGGTGCAGGATATACCTGGCAAAGTCTCGTTCACCTTTGATGCTTGGACTTCGGATCCTGGTGACCCTTTTCTTTCGGTAACTGGCCATTATATACATGCACCACCTGAACGTCCTAACGCCTGGAAACTCCAAACTGAACAACTTGCCTTTGCTCCAATGGAAGGACGGCATTCAGGAGCCAATATGGCCAACTTGCTCACACGAACTGTTGACCGCTATGGTCTTCGCAAAAAGGTTGGTTGGTTCTCGTGTGATAACGCTGCCAGTAATGACACATGTCTCATGGTGTTCGCCGACACTATCAACACCAACAAGAAGTCCGAGTCTGATGTGCAGAGGTGGGATCCAGTAGAAGGTCACATCAGGTATGATTTTGCCTCGTCATTTGGTGCATTCATCACTCACTCAATACCAGATGCATGGAACACACTATCAACCTTGCTGCTGGACATTTTCTCATGGCCGTCTCACCAACATCCAGCCGCAAACTTCTAAAGAAAATCAAGGCGGCAGTTAAACGCTCGGATATCGATTTCGATGCTTTAGATATCAGTTTGGATGGGATTGATTATGAGGGAGCGGATGAATGTGAAGAGGATGATGACGAGGATGACGAATTCGGAGTCGGTGACTCGATTGGTAAGGCTCTTGCGCTTGTGAAACAGGTTCGTTGACTTCCGTCTGACAACTTTTATATTCTACTAACTATTGATTATAGATCCGTGCATCACCTCAGGCCCGCGCATTCTTTGCACAGTCATGTAAACAAGCAGATGTCCCTGTTCTGGAGCTTACACAATGGATACGGACTCGGTGGGCGTCCATGCACAGTTTTATCACCCGCATGTTGTTACTTCAAAAGGTACGTCTCTCATATGTTGCACGTCCATGAGCTCATTGTTCTTTATAGGGTGTCAATCTTTTTGTCGAGCTCGCGGATGACAGCGAGGAAGTCCCTGGCCTCAAAGGCAAATGTTATGCGGACTTTCGTCTTGACAAAAAGGACTGGGAGAAATTGAAATTGGTGCACGAAGTTCTTCAGGTATGTGTATCTAGTTCTACCAGCTGTACTTATTACTAATATTTGCACAGGAACCAGCGAGCGCCACGCAAACGTTTTCCAGTTCGTCCGATCCTTCCGTCTGGCGGACAATTCCAGTCCTCGAGTTTTTGCAGAAGTCCTGGGAAAATATGGCAGCCCTTCCTCGATTCTCACAAGTCCGCGACACTATTCTCAAGGGATTGAACAATGTTGCAAAGTGGTATGACAAAACAAAAGCTACTAACGCATACTTTATTTGTCTAGCACTCGATCCTAATGTCAAGGTTGCCTATTCCGAGCATCAGTGGGATACGGAATCCTTCAAAATCGGTCTCAAAGATCTCGAACAAGTGGTATGTTTAATATTTGTTGACCATTGAAGCCAATATTTGCTGATATGTTTCGATAGTTTGACGAGTACTATACTATTGCCCCCGTCTCAGCTCCTGTGGATGCAAACATCGAACAAGCACCACCTGGGCAAGCCCAATATGGCCGTTCCTGGGTCCTTGCTGCTGTACAAGCACGTCAAGCATCTGATCGCACCCAGCTTAGGCCTCGTGCTGAACTTACTGCATACCTCCGGAGTCCTCTCGAGCAGACAGAGGATGTTGTGGGTTGGTGGGGTGTAAGTCTTTTTTTCTCATCATTGCAAGTTCATTTACATCAACTTCATACAGCACCATCAGTCACAATATCCGACACTTTCACGCATGGCCCGAGATTATTTAGCCATCCAGGGTAGTAGCACAGCATCGGAGCGTGCCTTTTCAAGCGGTGGACTAACAGGAACCAAACGACGGAACCGTCTCAACAAGGATGTATTCGAGAACTTGCAACTGTTGAAGAGTGCATACCGCAATGGCCACATCTCTGCCGCTAGTGATGCCGAGCAACATCTGGATTCGTTGATTGCTGCACTCCATGACAACACAGATGACGAGGATGGTGAACTGGTCTAGTAGCATTTAGTATTAGTACTTCTGTTGTCAGGCATGTTTCGTTTATATGATTTTTCTTGATGAAATTTTTATTATTTTGGATGGTTCGGTTCTCGGTTCAAACCCTTGCTGAACCAGAACCAGACCATTATTGGACCGAACCGATGGTCCAGTCCTTGGTTCTGCTCACTGGGAGAACCGAACCTATGGTCAGGTTCGTGGTTCTCAGAATTTGCCTGAGAACTGGACCGAACCGGACCTGTCCATCACTAGCTCGGCCGCAAGGCTGGCAGTCCTTTCGTCTCCAGGGACAGACTTTTTATCCCGAGACCTTGCGCTCTCAGACTTGCGTCCGAGAGGGCGGGTGTCATTGCTCAAGCTCCTAGACCTGGTCGAGGAGCGAGTAGATGCATTTTCCAGTGCACTGGTAGGCATTGATTCTTTTTCGTTTGAATGGTATCGTACGGAAGGGGTAGCTTTTGTTTAACAAGAGTCGAGGTTTTGGAGGGTGATCAAGCCTCCTAGACGACGACTATAGTGGGGGAATAGGTTTTTAGATTTAAAGGCAGTTAAAAATATGTGGCGTTCGTAGAACGTTCACACGGTAGAGTCGATAGTGTTGAATAAACTTAGAGGCTCGAACGAGATAACTGTCCGAACTAAAGTTATATTCGGGGGGGGTGAAAGATCAACTACCCTACCAGTAGATATACGTCGGTTTATATACTGTAGGGTAAGAATACTATGGAATACGAAGGAACGAAGGTAAATGAGTATCTAAAGAGAGTGATGGGTGTTAAAATTGGTTGTCATCATCAATGATCAGATGATGACTTTTTGACGAGCGTTACAGGTTCACATCTGGCCACAGTCCACAATCCACAACTGGTCACGCGGTGCTTTAATATATATAAGGCACAAGTCGGTTCTCCTTAATTCGCAACACCTCCTACATTTCTTTCCAACTCCAACTTGCCGCCATGCCTCCAACTCGCTCAGCTAGCCAACAGCGCTTTCTTCCAAACGAATCGCCTACACGAAACGGCCGGTCAAAACCAAAATCAAACTCGGCTACTATTCCTGAACATGAAGTCATCGTTTTGTCTTCGGATAATGAGAATGCCCGGCCCAGCAAAATTGGTTCATCATCAAGATCCAAAAGGAAGTCTTACAAGAAGCCCTATCCGACGCGCGAAGTTCTGGAGATATCGTCGTCCTCGGATGAAGGACCAATGCTTCCAAAGGCGCTGGGAAATGATACCTCATCTTGGCAGCGGGAGAATTCAAAAATCAAGCAGGTACGTCTTGGATGATCTGAATTTCAATTCCGTACTGATAGGCCATTAGATGAACGAAAACTTAGAGCGGCAGGTCGCTGACCAGCGCATACAACTCGACAATTTGAAGATGCGTCTCGAGGAGCAAAATCAAGAACTTGTTGCACAATCTCAGGAAATTGATGCCAGTCATCAGGAGATCCACTCACAGCAGGAGAAACTTTCTGCCTTGCAAGCAAGAGACACATCGGAATCGACCATAGTACGTGCTCTTTTCTATCTTTTCTCATGCTCTTCTAACATATATTTAGGATGCTACCAAGTTGGGCGACATGCTATCTTGCGACATATGCGCGCATTTGATGTACTCTCCTTACCTGTACGTTCTCTTTTTCACTTGCTTTCTGTGCACTGACCTGTTTCCCCTAGTCTCCTTGATTGCGGACACTCTTACTGCGAAGGATGCCTCAAAGGCTGGCTCGACGAAACACTCACTAAACATACACGCGCACAACCCGGATACAACGTGAACCGCCGATTTGTGCCTCGGAATCTTCCTCAAGTTCTTAACGCCATTAGTCCATACATCTCATATCCGATTCAGATGTCGCTGCAGGCGATGTATAATGTTTCCCGACAACAGCAGCCGGAGTATACCTGTCCAGGATGTCGGACGGAGATCACAGGAAAACCAGTTGTAAACTTTGCAGTCAAAGATATGGTTTCGATCGTCGGGAGCGTTCTTCGGCAACCTGACACTCGCCGGGAGTCTTCTACTATTGGTCATGGACAGCAGGCAGGTCCATTTGATGGCTTTTTCCCTCGATGATTAGCTCTAGTGTATTTTGAGTGTACTGTACAGAAATTCTTCATTCTTCTACGTTATTCGCATATTCTATCATACGTATGTATACCATAAACTACACTATGGTACAACACCCGCACTGTATGCATCATTATACCAGACACAATGTAAACAAGACAACATGCTGATTCACATGATCAAGACGGGCCAAGAAGGTATATATAATTACTTTGTCTTTGGTTTTGGCTTCATTTTGGCCTTCTTCAGGTTTGCTGATGTAGGCCCCTCAATTATTTCCACCTCGTCATCATCATCCACAGAAGCCGAAGCTTTTCGTTTGCGCCCTGCCGCTGGACCAGAACCAATACTACTCTCCCCGGTACCTTCCCTCGTAGAAACGGCAGACCGATTGCCCGAGAGCGATCCTGGACTACGACGTACCGAACTGACCGATCCTCGAGAACGCACTGACGAAGCAGGCGACACCCTTCTCGACCCAGGCTTCTGCAATCCAAAAATAGGCAAAGTCCCCAGCTCGTCTTCCCCCTCTCCTATCCCGCGTTCCCCAGCACGAACGTCGGAGTGCGCTGGAAGTCGTGTTTCGCGCCAGTCTCGATGGAACACGCTCTCGGCCGTTAGAGTATCCTCGAAGACACCTTCTAGTCTCGTTGGCACGCGGCGCTCTTCATCCTGCACATATCCGATCAAATGATCGCCCGTGGCCTTCGCCCCGAACAGTTCGAGCGATAGAGAGGCATTGTTTCGGATCACGCCATCGTCTTTGTCGAGGTTCTCAATCCATTCCCATGGGCGGTTCTGAACAGGTGCGCCATAAACGAGGAGGCCTGTGCTGTCTCGATGAGCGTGGGTGAGATCTTGGACAACGGCATTCGGCCGGAGATGTGGAAAGAGTGTCAGAAGTCGTATACGATGTGAACTAGGGAGGGAATGTAGATGAGCTGACTGAAGTTTCGTGGGGTAATACTTGAACGGGTCTGGCGATGAAGTTTTGGAGTGTAAGAAAAGATCTATGATGTTTGCGTTTAAACGAGGTGGAACACAGCGATTGGAGATCAGCATACCGTCTATGAGAAAGTACAAGGTATCAAGAAGAAGCGCGAACGCAACGACGTCTTGTGCAGGGCCGCATGCATGAATCTGCAATAAGTATGTTATCTCAGAGCTCGCATACATAATCCGTCATGTACATACCACGACAAGGTCAAAGAGAACTGGCGTCATCTTCTCACACGTGTCCCGAAAGTGTGTCGTCCGTATCCCGGGGAAACCAAGGTCAAACTGAAGGAGCCGAGCCAAGAATATGACAGCTTCAGTGATAACACGCAGCGAGCTATCACTCGTTTTGGAAAACATCACATTTGCGAATTGAAACGACTCCAGAATGATTTTTGCAAGTCGCTCTTGTGTTGAGACATCAAGATCTAGTCCAGTTCCTTCCTCTCGCAGTGGCTCTGAGACATGTGATAGTACGCGAAGCACCTCGCCTGCACGGCCAACCCGCGCCAACAATGATTCGGGAGTCGAAGGAGTAGGGGCTCGGTTAAGAATATCAACGATACTCTTGAAGCCGTTATTTATGAACTACTTGTCGCTTTCAGTGCACGTCAAATACGAGTATAAAACTATTTACTTTAATCGCCACTGGTCCGTCGACACCCCTGGCCATCTCCGCGATGAAGTACGCTTCTTCCGAGGCCATCGAATGGTGAAAGATCAAGGATGTCATTTTGTCGAGCGATGCACTTGCACCCTGTTTCGTCGACTCACAAGCAAGCGCCCTTCCGAGTTGCCTCAGCCCAAACTGCAGCTGAACTGCAGTCGCCGCCAGTGTGCATGGGCTCAGAACGGATGATATCCCAGTGCTTAAAAACGAGTTGACATCTGTATCTACGGTTGAACGTGAACCTCTGAGTCATTCTATACCGTGTCTTCTACATACCTTCGTTTGATTCACTCAAAATCATTTTCAGTGCGTTGACAAGCGGTTCGTAAAGTGTTTCTGCAACCATTCCCGACTGGATCGGGTGCTCGAAGCCCTTGCGGACAGCATCAAGATTGCGATAGCATGATTGTCTGATGTCGCGACTCTCGCACGTCCGCAAGCGAAGGTCTCGCGCAGTTCCCCGAAGTCCATCTGAAACGACATCGTTATGTTCCAGGAGCACTAGATTCGGTATATTACTGGCGAGAAGGGTGAAATGAGGTTCCCGAAAGGCATCCTGTCGCCAAGTGCGAATCCGTTGCGCATCAAGGAGTTCTCGCGGGACGATAGGACTGATTAAACACTCCTCCTGGAGCACGAGGGCGTCAAAAAGCTCACTGGCTGCCTGTATAAACGTCTCCATGTTCTGTGGCTGATAGAGAGGGCATGCATCGGCTCCCAGTTGCCAGGCAGGGTAAACTAGTCCTTGAAGCAGCGTGGTTGTCGATAGCGCTCCGTGGACGCATAGGAAGAGAAGGACGACTCTAAGTACATCCCACGTTTCAAGCGTCAATCCTAGCACTTCACTTTTTCCAGTACCGAGAAACCATTGGAGTACGTCATTATCGATACCGCCAGGAAGGTGGTGGTCGACATTAAGTAGAAACTGACCATAGCGAAGTGCGTATGTATGACGAAGCTCGTGATCTTCGCTCATGATGGGAACTTGGCGTAACGAAGCAACAGTATTGTCCCAGACTTTCCATGCCCAGTCTCCGGACGTACGATATCTGTACCAGAGGCTGTTTGCGAGAATCGATGGAGCGTCCGGCTTGGAATCTTCAGCTAGAAGTAAGATTTCAGGCATGACTGACGGAACGGCTTCTGGATGTTCTGTCTTAGGAGCCAGCGCGTGTGTAAACGCCGCGATGTCATTGTCCACCTGAGTTTTGGCCGTCGCATCTAGCTGTCGTCCATTGTCCATCTCAATAATCAAGGTCAGGAGGGATCTGGTTTTCCCCCCTTGCGTTCGCCAGAGCAAATAAGTAGAATAGAGTGTGGAAGTAATCGTGCCAGTGACGTTCATTGCCGTCCATATAGTTGCGAAACGGTGGAAAACTTCCCCGACGGCGATCAATAATTCTGCGTGGGTTGTCTGGGACAAGACCGAGAGACTCAGCTGCGTAAGAGCCGTCAATACTTCAAAATTTGAAAGGAGTAGAACACACCTCCAGTAAGGAGCCATAGCTATGAGTGTAACTTAAGAGTTCAACCGCTGTACTGTATGTCTTGAGGGTACTGATCTCATCTAATGATTGCGATCTGCGCGCTCCATCAACACAGCAAAAGAAGGATTTAATCTTGCGCACCTCGAAGTAAATTTGTGTAGATTCGGAAGTAACCACTGTTTGATCGTTCGCACTTGCTCAAAACATGGTGCACCGAGTACAGTAGGACAGCTGGTTTGGAGAGATGTCATAGAAACTGAAGGCGGACGGGTGTCCCCTATTATCCATTAGCAATAGAAACCAAATGAAAATGTTGGTTCTACATACCACCAAACACAAGTGGCAAGATTGCGCGGATTTCCCTTCGCATTTCACGTTCACAAACATCTTCAGGGGTTTGTCGTGCACGCGCTCCATAGACCATAACTTTGCGCTGGTTTGAAAGAGATGATGTCGTGTTATGTAACGGTATCCAGCGAAGGAGATTACGATGAAAGGAGGCTGTTTCGTCAGGCTGTAGGACATTTTGAGTCAGAGAACAATGTCCATATGACATACAATATACCTCGCTCAAAGAGAGCCCCTCTTCGCCTCTCGCAACGAGTCTCTGCACATAAGCTGCGTAGTCAAAGAGCCCGCTTTTCATTAATTTGCCGAACAGACCCGCTACTGCCCTAAGATTGCCAGCCTCCCGGACAACAGGTTTGGAGTCGAGCCAATCGAAGAGATAATCGTGAAGGGTGGCTGAAGATAGTTCGCGGCGTGCGTTGCGTTCATGATATGCTCGGAGAAGGGTCACAGCGGCATATGGACGATGAGAGCCATACTGCAGTGACGTCACAGCCCACGTTAACAAAGTGTCGAGTTTGTCGACAAAGCTTGAGCTTGAATCAGGAATTTGAGAAGAGAAAAACGATATAGTGGACATGTCCGTGCTACTGCAGATTGAATTTAGAATTTGAATATCAACAACCAGGGACCCAAGACGCTCGAGTTTTCGCGGTGGGAGATTGCGAAATAGCATGGCGTCATTGCGACGCTGAATATCTCTAAGATTGTCTGAAATCAACTGTTGAAAATCACGTCGTCGACAGTCACCAGGGCCACTATCAGCAGGGCCCGCAAGTGCAGAACACAAAAGCAATGAGTGCGCTAGCCATGTTCTGGGAGAAACAAATGTGTCCGGAAGGGCTACACAAATGCGCTGATGTTGAATCTTTAAGTGTGTGATAGTAATGCGGAGGTTGATGCATACCTGAATCAGAGACTTCAGAATTTCTTCAAGTTTGTTCAGGTGACCCTGAGCAGAAGTTGTCCTGACCTGTAATGGTTAGTCATAAATGAATGTATGTGGTCATAAAACGTACTTCATTCAATTTCGCGATGCATGCGTCTAAAAGGGGTTTCGCGAGTGGGCGTTTTTCAAGAACTCCATCGAGATACTCATCAGCCAAATGTGCTACAAATCCTGCTTGAGCAAGGTTGCAGGCTGCCATCTGAAGGACAATCCATGTAAGGAAAGTGCGATGGTCCACGAGACCTTCATCATAGAATGGTCGCAATAGTTTCAGGCTGACTTTGTTAGCGAATATTTGGATAGTCGAATTAAACACTGTACCAGTACGTGAAACGGGAGACCCATCGGTCCCGGCTTTCTGCATCAGAAAGAACGCCCTTAAATGTCTGTTTGATATTCATTCCAGGTCTAGGAGCGCTCGGTAGAGCAATGTCAGCAAGCTGTTTCTTGATATAACTCGTCACCACTATCGCCCAATCTACGCTGTACTGGGTGGGATTATAAGACGGTTTGTTTCTCAGACCAGCCTTTTATCATATAAATCACGCAGTTAAAAAATACTACATCATCACTCACAGTCTCGTTGGCGCCGAACACTCGAAGAAACCAGACTGCACGAGGTATGGCAACGTTGTTGGTATGAAGAAGGTCGAGTAGATCGTGTCCTTTGGCACCATGCGGCACACTTTTACCAAGTTTACTTAAGGGCACATTGGGGTCTGCGAGTTCGGCGAACCAGGTCTGTCGCTTGGTATCGCTCATGGTCACTCGTGAAGGAATCTTGAATGCTGATGACCTAAAAAACCGTTGGAACAAGTTCGACATCAAGACAACCAGCTCACTGTATAGTAAAAGCACTGTCTGCCTTTCGAGTAAAGATATCATTCATGAGGTGCTCGAGGTCTGCAAGCATGTTCTGATCGAACATGCGGCCACCCTTTGCATCCTGCTGTAGAAATGTGGCTGCAGCGCTTTGGTGCTCATCCTGATCATTATCAGCCATTAAACAATATCGATCAATCTCAAGCTTACAGGCACGGGAAGCGGCAACAAGAAACCGTCCTTTATATGTTTGTCAGACAACACATCCTCATCCTGTCCTGGGCGGGGCGGATGAAAACCAGGGTACCCTAGACATGCGTAAGAGTGATTCGTAGGATTCCTTAGGCAGTTGAAGGTGCTTACCGACATCAGCAGTCCTGTGAGACTTGGGTAGCCAGGGCGGAGGTAGAGACTCGTATATGGGCGATGGTGGCTCTTGTCCGCGCTTTTCTTGCTTCATATCCAGGGTATCTGCGATTGGTAAAATATACAATTAATGACACTGAGGTATGGACATGCTGGACGAGTGAAGGAGAGCGGTCAGCGTGTCACGGTTGCAAATATTGATGAGCTCAGATGCGGCGGCATTAGGGCTATAACTACTATTTTCAGCACGTGATATACCTAAGGCTTATGTGAGCCAGATAGAAATTTCATTCATTCATTCTAACTCGATGTCAATCGGTGACTCTCCTAGTACTAACAATTCCCTTGGGCCGTTCAGGTATTCAGCGCCAAGTTCTTGGACTCTGCAGAGAACCAAAGCAATATTTACGAGGGTTCTCCATAATATAAACGCTTTACCACGTTCGAGCTCAAGCTAGTGAGGACTGGTCAATGCCTTCTTCGAGTTACCAGTTGAGTTATCTTTCACTGTCACAGCACTTGATTTTGGAAAGAACTGTCGTACTGCCACCCGTTCCACCCAGCAACTTATAACTATAAGCTACTAGTATGAGATGCTATAAGGATTTATGGAACACTGGAACTTTCAAATGTAGATGGCCTCGTTCACCAGAAATCGATGCCACTTGGAATATATCTGGAAAGGGTGCATTGTTCGATCGTGTCCCGTCGGCTACCTCCATGAAATTCCGATGCCCACCAACTCGGCTGAAGCGGTTTGTCCTTCCGAGGTTAAGTATTCGGACAATGTTGGTGGAAGTTCCATGGTATCCTTGAAATGCACCCATCTATTGCATTGTATGGTGGGCTTTTCTGTGCTTGTTTCGGCGTTAGCTCATATTTTTGTCGCGAAGCTTGGTTTGAGCAGTATATATGCATAAAATCTATGTTTCAAGAATTCTAAAACGTAGGCTGTATGCACTTTGGTAATTACTCTCAATCACCTGACGCACATGCCACTGTGCCCTAACTTCCACATCTTGTATTTTCCATTAGGAACTGATAGGAGGAGACGAACGGGGGAAAGACAATCACGCATCACCCCACAATGACGCTCCACTAGCAGAGTTCACAGGATGTACGTGGTGATATCTAGATTTTTTCTTTTGATGTACTTACATGGCCTGTGGCAAGCGCCTCTGAAAGCTTTGATCCCAAGGATCCAAGCACTATATATTTCATGCTGGCAGCGTTTCTCTTCCTCCCATCTCTTTCCATCTCTCCATATCCTCATATCTACTTTCTACTGTGGATCCGCATGTCTTACAACATCCGTAAACTCGATCGAGCAGTCTTCGACGGAAGTCTGGCTGCACGTCTGAGTACTCTACACCATTTTCGATATGCTATGAACGAAATAATGAAATTCGATCACTTGGAAGACTGCGATTTGCAGCCCTACGGGGAGAAGGTCTCGTTTTTCTTATTAATCATGTCGTATAGTCAACTGATGATGTTATGTCCATGCAGATCATCACTCTGACGGAGGTAAAATGATTTCAATTCTGGCAAACACTCTCACTGATGCTCTTGGCAATGAAGGTTGCACGCTGGACGCTTAGACAGAGGATGGGTGTGTCCCTGATCATGCTCTGTTCGAAGGAGCACGTGCCTTACAAGGCAGCTTACTTCAAATTGCTCGTCTGGATCAGACGCCGCAGGTCCGCATTCCCCACTAACATCGACGGTAAGCATTGGTCGTTATTGTGTTTTATTTCATTCTCACCATTTGTATAGATCGAATCAATGCGCTCCTGGAGGACATAAACCATCAAGTAGTTCTACGCACCAGGGGAATTGACCCTCGCGTCCAATTGGGCATTGAGGAATTGATAATCATCAAGAAACGACGACCAGACGCCTGCAATTCCGAGTCCTCGGAGGCCGTTTGTTCGCAAATTTCGAACGAAAGCCCAACGCTCTGAGGTTGGCACTAAGAAGTAATCGTCATCAATTTTGGTGTTCTTTACAAGCGTTCTTATCAGGATCTAATGTCTCGCTCGTTGTAGTATGAATCACAACCCTAATCTGTGTCTAGTTGAAACATATGTATGTGCTCCGTATTATATGTAGTGAAAGAAGTATCCCTTTCGTTATATATATGGCTGTTCTCCAAATTTTCGTATTCGTAATTGTTCTGTTTTCCTCGGCTGCCACACTACTTGTTCTCAAGTTTGAGAGTCGTCACCAGCTCACATATATTTGCATACCAGATTCTGTTCTCCACGTCCCATTACTTTGCAGTCCCATCGGAAGATCTGCTAGCCATTTGCTTCCCATATCGACTCCAGCGCAATGTTCCACAACCTCACTGCACCGTCCTCACTTCTTACTTTCAAGTTCCTCCCGGCGTCTGGGGACAATGATATTGTGCACACTGTCCTGTCTTCGTCTCCCCAATTTTCCTCTATCTGGTTTCTGCTTTCCAAGTTCCATATTCGGACTCCGGAGCGAGCCGTCATACGAAATGATCATTTGTTATCCGCCTGGTAACTGGTGTATGGTGCCCGTGACTCCATAGCGGTGTGTCTTTCTGAAGAGGCGTTATTTCCTTCTTGACAGGGGGTGAAAACATACTGAAATAGTCAATTACCAATCAAAAGGTTTGTTTTGGACTTGTGGGTCATGGAAATATTAATGCCTTTGTCTGAATTCCTTTTCAGCCGATATCTGTGACGGACTCAAGCTGCAATCACTATCCTCACTTCTTTCCTATCCCTTGGTCCACCCCCAGCTCAAGTAGCATCCAGCAGGAAAACCCTGTATGTGTCCAACACCCTGTCTACATTCACTCTTGCAAGGGACTCGGGCTGACAGCAAGGGTAGTCTCTGTCGAAATCGTCTTTCTCTTGGACATAGAGAACCCCACCCGCGCGATGATTAGTAACGGCGATGTAGTCTATGTAGAGGAAAAAATAATCAAACCACACGCCATGGATAGCCTACTCTGCACCCACCGCAATTTGAGTCGCTGCTCCGACTCCAACGAGTCCCTTCGGTTTGTTTGCTGCATAGAGGGAAAACATGACCGCGGTACACGTTGTGATAAGGGCCCCACATTCGACGATGATGAGAAAACTAGCCTTATAGTTGAAGTGTCGCCCCGTAAGAACAGCCGTGCGGCGCCCTGCGTGCCATAAACGGTAGGCTATGCCGCCTGATGCAAGAAAATTGACACCAGTCTCGAGACCCCACCCGGCGAGTCCGTATGAATGGACATTGCGCGTGAGCGGCGTGGCTGTTGCGGGTATAAAACCAGAAACGGCGATCGATGCTATACCTGGCAGAATGTCACCACATATAGTTCCCTGTCTTACATGTCTAGCTTACTGCAGTGAAGCATCCAGAGAATGACCTATAGGCAGTAGGTCATCAACACGAAAGTTACATTAGTGGTAAACACAAAAAGGTAGAGTACCGGCATGATACATATCTTGAAGTTGTGATCCCAGATCACGTATAGTCTCCAAATCTGAAAGGCAAACATTCATCTGTGTTGTACTTGAGTCTGTATCACGAAACTAACTAGGAGTAGTTCTTGAGCGAATGTCTAGAAACGATAGGCGTCAGTCGAACGATATAAAAGATGCTGATGCTTCGATACTGACATTGACGATATATACAAAGAAACCACTGACGAACAGTTCGTTGGCACCAGGATCGGCGAAGTAGTTATCAGCTGCGCTGGCTGAAGTTGCGAAAGCAGCAATCAACTCCAGCAAGCTTATGATAACATGAGCTGTAGCCAACGAAAATTGGACAACGCTCGAGAACAGGAGCATTCTAGACATAATTGTGCTCTTGTTTGAGAAGATGTAGACTTCCACTCACTTTCGAGATGTTCCGTGGTGGCCTAGCAGGACGAAAAGACAAATGCAGAATAAGATGCAGCTACAACCACCATCAGAAACAACCCCGTGTGCTATGGCAGAGCGCACTTGATACCTGGTAGACAAGGAATTGTGTTTGGCGATACAATAGAAATTCACCAGCTACGTACCATACAAGATCGCCTCCAACCAAATGCCGGCGATATACATATGCGCCAGAGACTCGACCATCGTGGATAGAGAGAAATGGGGGGGACTGTCAGAGGGGTTTTCGAAGGGCACCCTAAATCCCATGACCGAGGCATATATAGGTAGATCATGTGTTCCATCAGGCTTGCTAACTCGGCAGTGGCTATCAATGGAACAGCATCTCAAACCAATCAATCAGCGGATGGTTCCGGACAGAGATCATGCACATGGATTTTTGTGGCGCTTCGGTGATTTTTTATGGTGGTGTAGCAATAAGATGGGAACATACATCATGCATCTGATGCATCAATAATCGGTTGGTTGCGCAAAGATAATCACGTTCTGATATGGTACGCAAACACTGTCTATTATCCACCGGCGACACGTCCAAAAGCCGCCACGGTGTGTGCACATAGAAAGTTGTACACCATAATGGATTCTCAGATTGGCTGGGTAATCCCGCGGAGTCACTGGCTGTGTATAAGAAAGAGCTCTGCGAGCCACTGGCAGCTGGCAGCGGCGCCATTCATTGAGATACGTAGTTGGTACGGTCCCCGAATCCGATGACTCAACAGCAACTGGACAAGATGCAGAATTCCTGATTCGGGACTTGGACTAGCGTGTACTACAGAAAAGATGATAAACAAGCGAGGATGTGAAACTTGTCCAAAAATACTGATAGTGAAAAGCATCAGCCTATCAGGGACAGTCAAGCTTCAAGCTTTAGCCGAGGAACTACTCACAATGGGTATCACGAGCATGGAAACTAAGCTCTGAGCGGGTACTGGCGACCAAGTGCCTCAGGAGGCTCGAAATTAGGATGTAGTGGCAACCCAGTACTAGTAAGTACTTAGTAGACCTCCTCAGGCTAGACTCGGATAGTTGCCCGGGTTGAGAGCGGCAACTGCCGCGACGTACGTCATACATTGGACAATACAGTAAATACTAGGGAACTCAAGCAGCAGGTAAGTATCAAGTATCTCTTCGTCGACGAGGTTTTAGCAGATGCAGACCGACTGTCGTACCTTTCTACCATCTGGCAGCGACAGAGACTAATCATTCAAAGGTACACACGTCATTCTCGCGTTGGCATCATCGAGTCATAGGCTAGTGACTGGCAAACTTGAATCTGCCTCATAGGCCTTCACGAGATTCTGGCTATGCCAAATATCTCAAGCAATTCGTAGTCGAAGCGCTGCGGGGACGTGTTCGATGCTCCTGGTGATGAGATTCCCGGAGAAGGTTTCATCAACAAATGATACATTAATATACGGCCGTGCGTTATTTTCTAAGAGTCGAGGCATAGAAGAATAGCAGCACTGATATCAATGCTCGATATTCAATCTCCATATTGTTATGGGCAAAGATTCCCGCTCCAAGTTCAACTTCACAACGTCATCAACAGCAACATGGCAAAGCTAAGTGAACGTTCACTCACGTACGCAACTTTGTGTGAAATTCTGCCCCAACCCTCCCAGCTCCTACACAAGTTATAGCTGACAACGGTCACAGTATATCGACGGCCACGCGCTCGTCATCGAGAAAGAATATCAATGAGGCTTGGGGATTGTGGGACATGCAGCACTTCCGGCTTAGATTGGCTGCTTGATAATGATGTAGAAGTCATGGACACCCTAGTAGCTTCCGCATCATTACCAAGCTGCCAGATTGTCATTTGGTGAGACATGAAACAAAAAGTGAATTTGTGTAAATGTGACAAACACGTGCGAGGTAAGTCCTGATAGCAACCATGGGTGTTAGCGGATTTACTCAACGGTCATCGCACTTACCGGTTGCGATGAATACACACTAGCTAGTAGCGAAGGCCACCATTAGCAAGTGGCTACGAAGCGAAGCCGAAGCTAGAGCGTCCAGTTGAGCGTCGCGAGGTAAACCACGTCCTTGGCACCCGTCTCCCAAGATAAGGATCTATTGACTAGGGCCAGAGGGATGCTAGAAAGGCGGATGGCAGCGGTTTCGAACTTGCCAAAGTTCTCGTCAGGGGGCTTCTCCTACCCTTCAATACTACTGAGCTTTTATGCAACCTGGTCAGAGTAAATGGTCCATGCACGACTGCAACCAACGTTGGGAGGGAGACAGCAAGCTTCATTTCCCAGGTTCGGCAAATTCACTGAGTCATGCAGAAAGTCTGGGAATCCGAATTTCCGGCAGTCTCCGTCCGGCTGCGTGCGGGTCTGTCCGGATCCGTCTGTGCACAACTTGTCAGTTCTTAACGTCGCATCACACAATGAGCTCATTTTTACGACTCGTTACTGTCTCAAACACAATATTAAGTTAGCAATATACCAGCCTTGCCTTGTCGGGTTACAGCTTTGTGTAGTTATAGATATGGTTTGGGCATTTGCCTGTCCTCCTCGTGCACCGGGCTGGCCGGCTTTCTTCCGCTACACTTTTGTGCTCACCTACTACCAATAACTGGCTTTCTCATCCTCCATCAAAGGTGCTACATTTATGTGCTTGCCTGCCAATTGCAATGGACTCAACTGTGAACCTTGCAGATTTGTTGCAGATTCTAAACTGTTACATATTTGTACTCGTGACTCACGAGGGTATCTCTGAAATAGTTCGGACCACATCTGTGCACTGCGCTGCAGTTCGGATGTTCGTGTAATGTATATATTAGTGTCATACTCCTTTGTTGCTCCTTTGCATACAAATTATAGTGCCGGACAGATCCAGCCGGACTCGGCCGGACGGACCCGGAAATTCGAATTCCTAGATGCCCTCGAGTCATGGGACCCTGGCACGGCCGTTTCCGAACCCGGCTGCTAAGCGTGACCGCTTTTTTAAAATTAGACTGTCACATGATCTCATTTAAATATTTAAATATTACTCATAAGAGTATAGGAGCGACTTCTGTTCACAGGCTGTTGGTGTCCACAAAGATGAACGGTCACGGTGAAACCGAACCTCTAATTCCAAACGATGAGACAGTGCAACGGAACTCTCGCACACTTCGCAACCGCGCAGTTGTCTGGTCTGTGCTGACTGCTTTTCTCATTGCTGTTGGAGTCGTCGCACTGGTTGATCCAAGCTTTGTAAGCGATATTGGACTGTCGTCGGGAAAGTTGCCCCGGGATCCTAAGCTTGCAGCACAGCGTGTGCTCGACATTGCTCCGGTCATCGTACGCCTCTTGGCCCAATTCTTCTGCTTATTCCTCACTGATGGAACACACAGGATGGCCACATTGGTATGTTTCCTTCCGAGCATAACCTGTCTGTCATCTCACAATGCGCTTTTGAGATCTTCCTATGGTCGCTCGCTTCGTCTGGCGCAACAACGTCACCGATGTTCCTCTTGACGGTCAAATGCCCATGCATGTGGATATCCCACGTCTGAGGGAAGGGAAAGTTGGAGGCTTCTTTTGGTATACAGCGGTATCCTTGCATTCTACCCTAAACTGACTTATCATCAGGTCTGTATACGTGGGTTGTGCAAAGCCTGAAGATGAGGGCGCCGATTTCTTAACGGCTACCTGGCGCGTCCGGTCTGGATATTCCTTGTTGAGTTCAATGCATCTCGCTGACGACACAAAATGATAGAGACACCCTCGAGCAGATTGACGTTGCAAAGGGCCTGATATCGAAATATCCTAACGTAAGTTCCATAAACCTTTATGTTAGAAATGCTGATTGATGTCTGGCGCAGGATTTTGCATACGCTGTCAGCGCAAGTGGCATCAAATCGGCAATAAGAGACCGCAAAATTGCAAGCATTCTAGGTGTTGAGGGGTGAGCGCCACGTCGTTAGCTCTTTCGATTACCCTAAAGTCATATCAGTGCACATCAACTAGGGAACTCTATTGCCGTCCTCCGCCAGTACTACGAGCTTGGGGTTCGCTACGTAACTCTGACCCACACTTGTCACAACGCTTTCGCTGACTCCTGCGGTTACTTGATACCGAGCGTCCCGCGACACTATGGCCTCAGCCCTCTTGGCTTCAGGCTCGTGGAGGAGATGAACAGACTTGGAATGCTTGTTGATCTATCTCATACTTCTGACATGACTGCAACGCAAGCCTTGCTGCATTCCAAGGCACCAGTCATCTGGTCCCATTCATCTGCCAGAGCCATTCACGATGTTGCCCGCAATGTGCCCGACGAAGTGCTTAGTCTCGTCGGTTTCGGCGAGGGGCAAAGAGATGCCGTTGTTATGGTCTGTCCAGAAAATAATAAATCTACTGATTTTAATGGTTGTGCAGGTCAACTTCAATGGCCCATTTGTTGCTGCCGACGGCGAGGCCGATATTGAAGCCGTTGCTGATCACATTGAGCATATTGCCAAAGTTGCTGGAGTGAAACAGTGGGTCATGACCGATACTCGCTCGGCTGTCCATCTGAAGGTTGTTACAGCGTCGGGATCGGGAGTGACTATGATGGGATTGAAGTCACTCCGACAGGACTCGAGGACGTTTCAAAGTATCCTGCTCTGGTACGCGACATCTTCCCATCTTTAAGCGATGATTGACTATTCTAACTCCTCAGATCGCTGAGTTATACCAACGCGGATGGAGAAAGCAAGATCTAGCTGGGCTCACTGGGGGAAATTTCCTGCGGGTGTTTGAGGGTGCAGAGAAAGTGGCCAAAGAATTAAAGGCTGCAGGAACCTTGCCAAAATATGACATATACGAAAAGAGAGAAGACTTGCCCCCCAGGGAGCTTTGATATATTCAGGGATGTGTGGTACGTCCATCCGCATAACTATCTGGATTCCTTCCAGCTTCGAATGTAATTTGCTATGTTTATTTCTGCGCTACTGATGAGATATCATTCGAAGAAGTTATTTATTCTTTGTTCACACGTCCAAAGATATTCCCAAGAAATGTCTCTTCGTATCTGTGATCTTTGACGTGGTAAACGTAATAAGCGCGGCCCTCTTGGCCAACGAGAAACGAGGTCAGCAAGAAATGCGACAGATGTCGCTGTTCTGATGGCGGCATGATTGTCACGAGGCTCTGTCGCATGCCTCTAACGTACCCATGATCGGGTATGTTTGTAATCTCCGGGACTTGTCGCGAACATAAGGACCGTGTAATACTAGGGTCCGTACTTCATTCACGTTGGATTCTCCGGGCTGGACACAGCACCTTAGATGCCATTCTGTTGTCCCGCCTTCAGCCTCCATATGCCCCACATCAAGGAGTAGAAGCACACCCAACAAGCAACACCTTGGCCTTCACGTCTCGGGCGCTGATGGTAGCACAGTAAGCATACCCCACGTCATGAGGCGGTCTGCACTGTATTTCAAGTAAGTTTTGAACATACGCCTATGTATAGGAAATTGGCAACTTGGGAGAGCAATTAATGGTAAGGGATTTCGTTTTTCAAGCTGTGCAAGGACTCCCCATGTCCCAAGGCGCCTGCCCCCTACGCTCTCCTTTAGTGATGCTGACCTATCAAGCAAGCATTGTCCTCTCTGCGAGTCATCCTACGCATGGCTGCCCGTGACATTTTCGTTACTATCTGGCGTGTCCAGACTCCAGAGTTGAAAGCCAACTGTCCGGAAGATATGCCGGTCATCTTGGAGTCATCTCTCACGAATGCCCGGTACACTGCACACGTGATGGATGCCTGGGCGTCTTGGTCTGGATCCTTATCATTGAGGTTGGTTGTCTAGTTCTCAAATTTCATTTGCTCTGGAGCGAGCGGCTCCATTTGAACATGGAGCGAATGATTCCATCTTACTGTCTTTGTCAATGCAGTATAGAGTTGCTTTAAAGTGCGCAGCAGGACGAGGGGGAAAGTTTCACAATAGCTCTCAGATGAGTCCCTATGTCAAAGCTGGGGTGAGTTTTGAATTCCATACGATGACATCTTATAAGCAGCAGTAGCTCAAGTGCCTGGAAAACATACCATAGAGAAATAAAGACAGTGTAAAGCGGTTCATGCAATGATTAACGAGGCATATAAGCGTCTGGTGTTTGACTCGGAAGGACGCGTCGAGAATGGGCGGGCACACGTGACTAACGACGTCATACAAGAGTTTGTCGTCATTAGGAGCCGATGTTGGATATAAAGGCATACGCTCATCCAACACCAACCACACACCACACCTGTACACTTAACTTATATCGCTTCCTTCACAATGTACAGAGCATCCAATTTGCGTTCCAGCGTTGTTCACGTTCGTGTCCCGACTGCCGTCCTTCCTGTCGTGAGTAGAGTAGTGTTCCATTATTCTCAAAACTAACTGCAAATGCAGGCGCGTAGGACGTATGCAACCCAGCCTTCGCCGGGACAAGCGTCGCCCAATCCAAAAGTCAGCCCTTCCACTGATGGCGGTGGCGGACACAACAACGGCCTTATTATCGCATCCGCTGTTGCGGCCATCGGGGGCATGTACTATTTCTACAACCGCAGCCGAGGCATCAGTCTTCAAGAGCAAAAACGCAGAGATGAAGAGGATATCAAGCGAGCAGTGCGTGCAGCACAAGGCGATATAAAGCAAGTTGGGGAGGCAGGGAAGGCAAGGGCTGAAGATGGCCTTAAAGAAGCTCAGGAGAGCTATAGTGCTGCGAAGGTTGGTCGCCTGAGCATCCAAGTGGATCAAGTCGTCTAACCTGCTACGCGTAGGCCTCAGCTAAAGAGAAGGTCACTGGATCCCGCCAAAAAGTAGATGAGTCTCGCTACGACCTGACCGAACAGGCACGACAGGCAGCACATGAAGCACAGACAAAACTGAATCAGTACAAGAGTTCAGCTGAGCAATCTCTAGCGGACGCTAGGAGGACATCCGAACAAAAGTTTGAGGAGACGAAGGACGCTGTCATGCATCGCGCGGATGAAGCCAAGGACGCAGGTCAAAGCTGGTTTGGTTGGGGGCAGTCAAAGACAGACGAGGCGAAACGTGAGGGCACTCAGAAAGTTACAGAGAGTGCAGAAGATGTTAAGAAGAGAGCAGAGAGACAGGGATGAGATTTGCGATGTTGAATGAATATTCGACAAGCTGTACACCTAAATTAGTATTGTAAATACATTACCCTATATTGCATATTTTTCTCTCCGCGCTTCAACGACCTTCAATTGCAGTGAGAGATGCTGAGATCTTAGAATTGGGTCGTATATACGGAGGATCGTGGAGAACAACATAAGACTGGGACATGAAGAATTTCAAATTTGACTACGTATTACCGGTAATTGCCGCCTGTTGTCGTTGCTATCCTGAGCAAGACAAACTCGGCTAACTCGGTTGGCGCCGGCGGTCCGCGGAATCGCTGATAGCTGATCAGTGTATATCCACCACCGTCTTTGAATTGTCTGGTGTCGTGGCTTAGATGGCCGAAATTCAGACCAAGGTTATCCTTGTAGGCTTAGGGTATGTGAACATTTCACATTCCATAGGAACTACCGATTGACTATCTATGACATCGATAAGTGGTGCTACTTGCTCAGGAAAGACTACTCTAGCGAAGCATCTGAAGAACATACTGCCCAATAGTGTCATTGTGCATCAGGATGTCGGTGAATTTCTCAAAGAATATCAACATTAACTTACCTATGACAGGATTTTGCTCCAGTAAGGCACGGTACTCAGATCGACCGTATTTTTTCGCTGAGCAGTCGCACAGCCTGAGGAACTACTCCCCATAAAGCACGGCTACCAGGACTGGGATGCTCCAGATTGCGCAATTGACTACCCACGACTTTCCAAATTTTTGAAGGACGTGAAAGACACAGGATGCATACCAGATGATCATAGAAGCCATGATCATTTGAACAAGCACACGGATTTACCTATAGAAGCAGAGTGTCAACGCCGTCTGGCTGAGAACTTCAGAGTTATCCAAGATCAAGTCAAGGAGAGCGACCACATCAATATAGTGTGGGGCTTGGTGGACGGGTTTCTGTTGTATTGGAATCAGGTGTGTCAGCATTAATGCCTCAGTAGAATGAGGAATCAACGCGACTCCGTCATAGGAAGTCATAGAACAGCTAGATACGCGCTTCTTACTCCGTCTTCCACTTAAGACATTGGAGGGCCGAAGGAGAGCGCGGCAGGTTTACATCACAGCAAGTATGTCCTTTAGTATTTCCGCTCTATCTTCGTTCTTATTCCGCTCGGATGATTATTGACTTTTTCTCCTCCTCATAACCTCTCAATCATGTCCACGTTGATGTGTCTATTTTCGCTTAACTCCACGCGCCTCCGTTCTTTGTCCGGTTACTCTCATGGAGCGCAATTTAATGAAGAGGGGGACGAATGGGTAGACCCTCCTGACTACTGGGAGACGATCGTGCTCCCTGCATACCTAGACGCACACCGCGAAATATTCGAGGGTGGTGATGTTGAGAATGGGAGCTTGACAAATAAGGTGGAAGGTCTTGTTTTGATCGAGCCTGAGAAAGAGGACAAAGAGATGAGCATGACGGATATTGTTGAAAGGTGCTGCCAAGAGTTATATCAGCTTGTCAGGGCGGAGCAAGTAGGGAGTTAAAGCATAAACTGCGGTCTCAGCATCGGGTGTTTTTTATAGTGCACCACAGATCATGCGATAGAATTTTAGATGATTCCCCTCCACGATTGGTACAACAGATAATTTGAGGGACACCGGGATAGGTTTCCGGGAGGATAAATCGTTCATGAGGGTGACCGGGAGCTTGTTTGCCGCCCGTGATTTCCATACCCGAAAGCTGACATAATGAGACAATCACATGCTCATTTTAATTTAAACCTTGCGCATTGTGATTGGCTAGCAATCATAGGTACTTGACCCGGAACAGCTTCCCCCACCTTGCTCCCTCTCCACTACCATCTTCTCCGCACACTCCTAACAATTATCGCAATGTCACAGGTCATCGTCGTTGGAGGTGGCCTTGCTGGTCTCTCTGCAGCTCACACCCTTCTTGAGCGTGGTGCTAATGTATTGCTACTTGACAAGCAAGGGTACGAAAATTCACATTGAGGGTGAAACAGTTATTGACGGAGCTCCGCAGATTCATGGGTGGAAACTCCACCAAGGCCACTTCTGGTATCAACGGTGCTGGTACCCAGACACAGCAGGAGGCTGGTATTCCAGATAACGCAAAGATTTTCTTCGAGGACACGAAGAAATCTGTGAGTGATCCCATGTTTGTGCCCGACTCTCATACCAATGAATTCTAGGCTCGTGAACTTGCTCGCGATGACCTTATCCGTGTGTTGACCGGCCGCTCAGGCGATGCTGTCAACTGGCTACAGGACAAATTCGGTCTGGACCTCTCAAAGGTCGCGCGGTTAGGAGGCCATAGCCAGCCTCGTACACACAGAGGGAATGCACAATTCCCTGGTATGGTATGTAGTCGCAATCTCCGTTAATTAAGTGTAGAATTTGTACTAACTACGCATTTCTGTACTGACAGGTTATTACTTACGCACAAATGGAGCGCCTGGAGGATTTGGCAGTGAGCCAGCCAGACCGCGTGAAGATTTACAAGAAGTCCCGTGTCACGAAGCTTCTTAAAGACGAGTCTGGCGCAGTTACGGGTGTTGAGTATGTCCGCAATGGCAACACAGAAACTGCATACGGCCCCGTTGTCCTCGCTACTGGTGGTTATGCCGCCGATTTCACTGGCGGTGACTCTCTGCTGAAGAAGCACCGTCCTGAATACTATGATCTCCCGACGACGAATGGTGACCACTGCACAGGTGATGGTCAGAAGATTGCCATGGCTATTGGTGCGAGTGCGATCGACCTCGAAAAAGTGCAAGTGCACCCGACGGGTCTTGTTGACCCTAACGAGCCCGACGCGAAAGTGAAGTTCTTGGCTGCAGAGGCTCTTCGTGGTGTTGGCGGTTTACTTCTTGACAAGAACGGCGACCGTTTCGTCGATGAACTTCAACATCGCGATTACGTCACTGGCAAGATTTGGGAGAATGGCAAGGTATTTGAATGTGATTGTTGCTTTATGTCATTCACCCAAAGATCTTCTTTAGTATCCCATTCGCTTGATCCTTAACGGGCAGTCTTCAAGCGAGATCGAATGGCACTGCAAGCACTATGTCGGTCGTGGTCTCATGAAGCGTTTCGATTCTGGCGAGGCTCTTGCTAAAGAGATGGGCATCAAGCCTGAATATCTTAAGAAGACTTTCGACACGTACAATGCAGGTGTCAGGGCAAAGAAGGATCCATTTGGAAAGAAGGTAAAGTCCATTTCTTAAGATATATCACTGTTACTCAACTCCAGAAGTACTTTTCATCAGGAGAGTGGAGCATGAATGACTACTTCAACGTCGCAATTATGACCCCTGTATTGCACTACACCATGGGTGGCTTGGAAATCGACCCCGAATCACGTGTCATCGGAAAGGATGGCAAACCCATCTCTGGTCTCTTCGCTGCTGGTGAGGTTGCTGGTGGTGTACACGGTGCCAACCGTCTTGGTGGTTCGTCACTGCTTGGATGTGTTGTTTTTGGACGTGTATCTGGCGATTCAGCTGCTGCCTATCTCCTCCAGACGACTAGCGCCATCGTAGAGAAGGCGGGCGGACGTCTTGGTGCACTCGTAGGACAGCTCGAGTCGAAGCCTGCTACTTCATCTGCATCTACACAGCCTGCTGCCACGAGTGTTCCCGCCCAGTCGTCATCGCTATCAAAGGAATTCAGTGCCGCGGATGTAGCTAAGCACAACAAGAAGGACGACATCTGGGTCATTGTTAATGGCCAAGTGCTGGACGTCACATCCGTAAGCGTAGGCCTTCCAGTCCTGCAACCTTACTGACTTTTTCGTGACACAGTTCTTGCCTGATCATCCGGGAGGCGAGAAAGCTATCATTCTCTACGCTGGTCGTGACGCTACTGAGGAATTCAACATGCTCCACGACCCGAAGGTATGAAACACTGTCCATTCGTTGTCCTTGGCTCATTCGCTGTGTAGGTGATTCCAAGATATGCACCAGACGCTGTCATTGGCACACTCAAGAAGTAGGGGATAAATGGCGCTACGACTCCGCTCAGAAAAAGTAGAGGAACTATATCTGTCATCTTTCTTCAACATCGCATATCTCTTTCTCTCATGTCTCTGCTTGGTTGCTGTAATCCAGTGTATTCTAATGTTGTGTTCTCTTCATACCATCTTTGACTGACTGATTCATGAGGCCAACACGAGGCCGTGGCTGTTGCAAAGTTTGAATACTAAATGCCGAATTGTTTCTTGATACGCCTCCGCCATAACAAGCTTGGGAATATTCCTGCGGCGGCGGTTTTAAAGTTTGTGCGTACGTTCTTTTTACTATATGTGCACCCCGCTCGCCACGACGCCACTTCATATTGTTTTATGGTCACCCAATTGGTTACTGTGTCTGGCCAATGGCCATAGCCATAACTTGTACACCGCTGTGCCGCATCCTAGGTTGGATCGGGAGGAATCGGATGAAGACGAGTACTTGCGTGCAAGGGGTTGGCCAGGCCGCCAAGGCCCAATACTACCAGTAGCCATGTACCGTGGATTGTATGACTGTTTTAGCGCATAGCATATGTGTCGTCTAACGTTCTCTGGCCCATCGGAGGAGCCACCCGAAAAATGTAAGTCTTCATTAATTATCTCCGATCCCAAAGTAGATGACACGACCCAAGTGACACTGAGCTGTTCCATACAGAAGGGCGGGAATGCTATCCTGCGCACCCACGTACGGTCCCTTCCGTTTGAAGCCCTCATCCATCTCGTTATATGTGCGAAGGCGGTGGCGATTCTAGCGAACTCTATTCTTCCACTCCGCCGACTGTGCAAAATGGCGTTGTCCCACCATCACCACCACCACCACCACCGGCGTGTGTGTACGTGTGTACCATGATCCTGTAACGAGCTGTTCTGCGCGCCGCACCCGAACTCACGCCATTCATGTGGCTCAAGGCTCCTTTCTGTCAAACACGATATTCCCGTTACTCGTCGTCTCAAGCCTCGGGATAATGTTTGTGTGGAAATCCGTTAGTTCAATTACTCTCAGCCTATCAATGTGCATGCTAGTGGACCCTTACCTCCTTCGATGACTCGAATGCCGGCTTGGCAACTACTGTCATTGGCGCATGCCCTAACACTTAATAATTCTGGATATCTGAATATGTCGGAAACTCTTTGCATTGCCTTTCTGAGTTCGCCACCAGCCATCGGTGCAGGCTGTACTCAACCAAGGTCCACGGGTTATGGTCTGGCATGGAAAGGGAGATTTCGGATCTGGGAAGCTATAAAATACCATGCCTGGCCCTATGGATAGTAGAAAACGATCCCAGCCCTCCATCTTCAATCCAACCGCCAGCATGCAATCCTTCAATCCATTCGCTGATGCCTCAGCCTTCGGCTACAACGAAACTACAAGGTGATTAGTGCATGAAATTTGATCGCATCAAGATTTGAGGGTCTGACGCCGTTGCCTGTGCGATAGCCCAAATCACGCCCCTGGAACTTCAAGTTCTCGCGCTTCGACCGCGTGGTGGTCTGGACCCATTGTTAATGGTCCATCAGACCAGTACTTCCCGGGTGGCTTCACCTTTCCTCCAGAGTCTTTGGTAATGCAGTATGTTATTATCCGACATGATTATGTCGGTTCCTCATTGCGAAACTATAGGAACTCTGGATACCAGTACCATGTGAACGATAATACGGCATTCCAGAGCATTCCTGAGAACTCTATGTTATCACACTCAGAGACAGCAGATGATAGAACGCTTTACTATCCTCAAGATCTATGGTATCCTCCGCCTGAGGATGACAACCTAAACCAAGGGTAAGTTTATCAGGCTGAGTCACGGGCATACTATTCATTCAGCTACTAGGAACCAATGCGGACAGCTTCCGTGGTTCAACTCAGACACATTCCCTCCGAGTCCATCCTTGCAAATGATGATGTCACAGTCGCCGACGGAACCATTACCTATCATGATGCCGTCTCAAGAACAACGTTCGTCTTTCTCTCCAACATTTTATTATAGCCTCTCATCGTCCTTACTCCAGCGGCCCTTTCTGAATGCGCATGGGTTGAAGATGGTAAACTGTGTGACCATCCCATTTCTCATGACAAACGCAGACTTGGCATACATCTTCGCGACTCTCACGGTGTGCATGGAACCGACAAGAAACCTGTTGTGTGCTCCTGGCAGGGTTGTGATCAGAAGATGCAAAGAGGCGCTATCGGACGGCACATCATTAGCTGCCACCTGAAAGCTAGATGGACCTGCAAGAATTGTTCCAAGACGTATTCTCGCCGCGACGCTATGAAGAAGCACGCCAAGGACTGTCAAGCCGCATAGGCTTAGCCGCTGACAACCAGCATCACACCTTCTCGCTCGTTATCGTATCACTTTCTTTTGATGACTAACACCAATCATTTCCTAATGCAATGTTTCTCTTCACCGCTGCTGTATTACCACAAACTCAAACTTACGGCATGAAACATGGCTAGTATACCCATAATGTAGTAGTATATCTTGTTATCGACACTCCTTCAATGATGTATTTATTATACATCTTGACTCGTTTTTTAATGCGACGATAAACCTCCAAAATACAAACGACGACGTTCCTTCAGGTATACTAGGATCGTGATCAGGCAAATCGCAAACGAGTCAGAATTCGTACTTGTATGCGATAAAAGCGGATGACTGTAACATCGAGTCTTAGTGCGTTCTCATGCTCAAAATTAGGAGGTGCAGACGTCTGACATAGGACAATAATTAGATTTTTTTTCATGTAAAAAAAGTTGGGAGGAACCCGACAGGGTCCCATTTGGGGCTAGTAAGTCTGACATAAGTTTCTGCTTGTTTTGGATGTGAGTCAATCATGTCCTTTTATTTCCACCAACCAGATATCACCGGCCAGGCCTAAGTAATACAATATAACACTTCCTAGGAAAAGCCGTCGACATATGATACCGGTACGTGTATGCAAGCTCCAAGTCCGCTCATGGGCCAGCGGCTTCTGAATCATCCTCGAGAATTGAAGCAATCGACATCTCTCGACACCGGCGGCTGTAGGTGCTGTAAGTCAATATCATTGATGATTGATGATTGACGATCACCATGGAATGCATAGTGTAAGAATCTGAAATATTAGACCGACGGGCTGCAGCTGGTGTGACAATAGCGACGAAGGATTGGCGGTAGATTGAGGACGGGGACTGATCGATAGCGTTGGTGAGGCGAGGTTGTGGTGGGTCGCAATATCTATAAGGTTCGTCGGCGGTGCACGATTAATAATCTTGACAATAGTTCAAAATTGACGTTGATTCAATATCTGGCTTTCCAGGCTAACTCGATATTCGGGAATCGGCACTGGATTCGACAGATAACCTAGTAGGGTGTCGGATACTCCCTCATTTGCCTCTTATCCATACCAAAATCTGGAACTTTTCACTTGTCCAGCATAAGTAGGCGACGAGGCGTACCCATCGGGCAAACCATGTGCTCAGCGAATCACCATTAATGATCTTCATTTACCGCTCGGGTCATTGACATGGTGGCATGCGTGTGATGTTGTCTTGGGTAGGAACGTCAAGCTGAGTCTTTTGGTATTTGTAGAAGAGCAGAGGGCGGGTAATGCAGTAAGTCCTGTTGTGCCACTGAACTGTGCTTCAATCGGAACCGTTCTCTGTCCGGTTCTGGGTTCGGACATTTCGTAGAACCGAACCAATGATTGGTCCGGTTCTTGGTTCTCCCTCTGAACCGGACCGGACCACAGCAGCACCACTCGGAGTCCATTAACACTCCTGGGACCCTCTCGGACCACGTTCAATGATTACTGCGCAGATTAGTTGAACAATATCGTGACTATCTTTCACAGGTTGCAGCCGTGAGGGCTGTTAATGTTTCCACTAGAGACACCAACCTAGCGTTCTGAAGAGGACGAGAACATGGTGCTTGCTGAACTCGACTAATTCACGCTTGCTCTAACTACATGATGCGATGAGGCTCTAGGAGACCGATCATCTGAGACCCCTGACTCCTGCTCCCACCGGCTAACCCCCTTGCTGTGCTCCCTACTACACCACAGCTACCTTCCCTTCTTTGGTAGGTCTAGTATTGATGCTGGATCATCGCATTTGGGGTGTATATAACCCTTGAGAGTTGCTGTATCTTGATATCACCTTCTAACACCCAAGCCTCCAGCATGCAATCTGCGAATATTTTGATCATTGTCGCCTGCCTCGTCGGCGCGGTGAGGGCAGGTCAGTAATCTGTCAATATCTGTTGAACTTGATATTTAAATACATTAGCCAGCGACAACAGCACAGTCGGTGTCGAAGCGCCGACAATAGTCTCCATAGTATTCAGTCAGTCCAAAAGGTACTATCTTTCGGATTGGGTCTAATCCATGTCATCCAGAATACGACCCAAACAAAGCCGCAGCAATCGCGGCAGGCGTATTGTACTCCGTCGCCAGCCTATGCCTGTTCACGCGCTTATTCATGAACAAGGCATGGTGGGGACTTCACCTCCCTATAGCCTCAACCTGTCAGTTTTCACCATCCACCTCGAAATACGTGTTGACCGTTGAAACAGTGATGTCCGTTGGTCTTTTTATGCGTATACCCATGGCGACGAACCCAAATTCTCTCTCGATTTTCTTGGTCCAAGCATTCTTCACCTTGTTACCGCCTGCCGCATACCTCGCCTTCAATTACATCCTTTATAGGCGTTTCTTCGTGAACTGTGTGGACAGACGCTACTCTTGGATAAAACCAGAGAAAGCTATCCGGTGCATCGTTATCAGCGATATCGCGACAGCCTCCATACAGGTTTGAAGTTTAACTGTCTTTCTCATCGCACGGAGGATGAATCATAACGTTGTGCAGGGTGCAGGTGGCGGTCTAGAAGCGTCGACAAATACGACAAGTGCAAAGTTGGGCGCGGACATAGTGCTCGTCGGATTAATCCTTCAGACAGTCTCATTTGCGTTTTTCATGATCCTGGTTGTGCATGTATGGCATGGTATCAATCGAGACGGTCTTCTGTTCCGCAAGGAGCCATGGAGGAAAATTCTTTGGATATTGATGTTTTCTTCAACAGCCTACATGGTACGCCTTTCGCCCACACTTCATTGTCAATCTTCACTGATGTTACGCGATACAGATTCGCTATATCTATCGTGTCATTGAGTTTGGTCAAGGCAATGACGGCTATCTCATCACATGAAAGTAAGTGTTGAGAGTTACTGAAATTGAGGCGCTTGGTCTAACCCTTGCCCAACAAGTCTATTTTTACCTCCTCGACTCCCTACCATTATTGATTGGCATTTGCGCATATATCATCTACTGGCCAACGAAGTATCTCGAAGCGTCGACAAAACCTGTCTATGATTATGAAATGACGGGACAGGTTTAGAGTTCTGTCGTCACTGCGAAAACCCCAACTTACTTAATCTTACTTAATAATCTTAGCCACCTCTCTTCGTGCATCATCGATTCATCCACGGTGATCCACCTAGTAAATCTTGTATTTTTAGTGCAGTCAGTAACAAGACATGTAACCTAATATGACCGAACAACTTTTTTCTGAATATGTCAAAGTTGAATTTCTAGCAAAGTAGGAAAAAGTAGCCGGGCACCAAAATCTACCTTGAGTCCCAAGTAACTAACACTGCGTGTTGTCAAAAATTTCCCAACTAACTAAGTCTATATGAGCGGACATCTTATTCTGCTTGCTTTGGATGAATGTCCTTTTATTTCCACCAACCAGATATCACCGGCCAGGCCTCAGTACAATATAACACTTCCTAGGAAAAGCCGTCGACATACGATACCGATATTTCCATGCAAGCTCCAAGTCCGCTCATGGGGAGTGCGAAGGCGTGTGTGGACCGCTTGTAAGAGATAGGCACTGTAGAGTCAGAGGTTTCGTGAACGAGAGTAATGAAGTAGAAAATGTAGTCCGTCTGAGATGATAGACGAGATAATGAGATGCTTCGGGTTAGAGAATGCGAGACCGGGACTTCGAGACTTGGTTATATTGCCTGCAGTAGGAACTGTATTACACAGGCTACTTATATTGTAGCTCGGTAAGGGTCCTCAGGTACAGGTAGGCCGAATGATGATTATGTGAGGACGGACGTAGAAGAGAGTGGTGTCACGCCTGACAGGTAGAGTAGACATGATGAGGGAATGTCACGAAAAATAGAAAGGATGAGTGTACAAATGGAATCATGTAGACGGAGTGACGAAAAATATGATGTTATTGGCAGATATTAGACCGGCGGGCTGCACCTGGCGTGACAATGACGAGAAAGTGTTCTAATTGTCGAGCGGATCGGTAGCGACGAAGGATTAGCGGTGGATTGAGCTCTGAGGACGGGGACTGCACTGATCGATAGCGCTGGTGAAGTGAGGTTGTGGTGGTCGCAATAGAGGTTACGTCGGCGGTACACGCCGATTAGTAATCTTGACAGAAGTTCAAAATTCAACTTGAAGACGTTGAATATCTGACTTTCTACTAGAGTTTCTAGCTAGGCTATAACTCGATATTTGGGAATCGGCACTGGATTCGACAGATAGCCTAGTAGGGTGTTGGATACTGCATCATTTGCCTCTTATCCATTTTAAAATCTGGAACTTTTCGCTGTCCAGCATAAGGAGGCGGCGAGGCGTACCCATGGCATTGGGCAAACCATGTGCTCAGCGAATCACAATGATTTATCACTCGGGTCATTGACATGGTGGCATGCGTGTGATGTTGTCGTGTGATTCCGACGGTACTAGGAACGTCAAGCTAAGTCTTTTGATATTTGTAGAAGGGCGGACAGCTACTTGCGATCATAGGGCGGGTAATGCAGTAAGTCTTGTTGTGCCACTGAACTGCGCTTCAATGGCAATTGATATTGATCTGTCATTCGAACTACTTGTGAACTTGACGAGAGCTGTGCTCGGTATGGCACAGGATCATCAATTGTCGATTCTCTAGTCGTGCATCAATCGCGTGTACGCATTCCATCTGTGTTCTGATGAGCGCATCAAACTGCTGTACTTGCCAAATGACACTTTCCCGTCGGATGTCATATTGGTGGTACGTCACCAGCCGGCAGTGCTCAGCTCCCCTTCCGACGGTAGACAAATTACGCCGGTCTTCGTTAACACTCCTGGGACCCTTTCGGGCCACATTCAATGATTGCTGCGCCCATTACTTGAACAACACCTATCTTTCACAGGTTGCAACCGTGAGGGCTGTTAACGTTCCCGCAGCTACCTTCCCTTCTTTGGGAAGGTCTATTGATGCTGGATCATCGCATTTAGGGTATATATAACCCTTGAGAGTTACTGTATCTCAATATCACCTTCTAACACCCAAGCCTCCAACATGCAATCTGCGAATATGTTGATCATCGGCGCCTTCCTCATCGGCGCGGTGAGGGCAGGTCAGTAATCTGTCTGTCAATATCTGTTGAACTTGATATTTAAATACATTAGCCAGCGGCAACAGCACAGTCGGTGTCGAAACGCCAACAATAGTCTCCACAGTATTTAGTCAGTCCAAAAAGTATCATCTTTCGGATTGGGTCTAATCCATGTCATCCAGAATACGACCCAAGCAAAGCCGCAGCAATCGCGGCAGGCGTATTGTACTCCGTCGCCAGCCTATGCCTGTTCACGCGCTTATTCATGAACAAGGCATGGTGGGGACTTTGTCTCCCTATCGCCTCAACCTGTCAGTTTTCACCATCCACCTCGAAATACGTGTTGATTGTTAAAACAGTGATGTCCGTTGGCTTTTTTATGCGTATACCCATGGCGACGAACCCAAATTCTCTCCCGATTTTCATGGCCCAACAACTCCTCACCTTGTTACCGCCTGCCGCATACCTTGCCTTCAATTATATCCTTTATGGGCGTTTCATCGTGCATTGTGTGGACAGACGCTACTCTTGGATAAAACCAGAGAAAGTTGCCCGGTACTTCGTTATCAGCGATATCACGACATTCCTCATACAGGTTTGAAGTTTGATCGTTTGCCTTGTCACATGGAGGACTAATCACAATGCTGTTCAGGGTGGAGGTGGCGGTCTAGAAGCGTCGACAAACACGACAAGTGCAAAGTTGGGCGCGGACATACTACTCGCCGGATTAGTTCTTCAGACAGTCTCATTTGCGTTCTTCATGATCCTAGTTGTGCATGCATGGCATTGTATTGTTCGAGACGGCCTTATGTTCCGCAAGGAGCCGTGGGGGCAAATTCTTTGGATATTGATGTTTTCTTCAACAGCCTACATGGTACGCCTTTCGTCCACACTTCATTCTCCATCTTCACTGATGTTACGCGATACAGATTCGTTGTATCTACCGTGTCACTGAGCTTGGTCAAGGAAATGGCGGCTATCTCCTCACACATGAAAGTAAGTGTTGAGAGGTACTGAAATTAAGGCGCTTGGTCTAACCCTTGCCCAACAAGTCTATTTTTACCTCCTCGACTCCCTGCCACTGTTGATTGGTATTTGCACATACATCATCTACTGGCCAACGAAGTATCTCGAAGCGTCGGTCAAGCCTGTCTATGATACTGAAATGACGGGACGAGTTTAGAGTTCTGTCGTCACTGCGAAAATTCACTCGGGTGCATGGACCGTACATAATACCCTCATAAGGGCACTGGACTATATATGTTACAATATGTTACAATAATCCGCTGCGATGCAACAATGTTCTGTAGATCGGTTCCTTGGCCGCACAATATCCTACGTATATGTTTCGGAGGCTCGGAGCGAATAGGAAAGCAATTGCATGACATCATTGCGTTATGCCTTTAATGTACTCCATGCCGACAACGCCCGTAACCAGTGCAGGCGTACTAAAATCTTAACGCTAAAACTCGAATGCTACTCCTGCAAGCGTCTTCTCCATACCCATCCTTACGATTTCCTCTCCTACACCAATCTTCCAACAAACCAAGTATATATATCTATGACTCATAGTGGACACATGACATCACTGCTACCGGACGGAATCGGCATACGGATGATGAGATCTTCAGACATGCTGCAAGTCCGTGCACTTCATGTGAGGAGACACTTTCACATTTGCACATCAGAGCCCCTGACTGGCAGGTCGCTTGACCGGTTCCAAAGACCAAACTTCTCCCAGTCGCATACCCCGCCGCATTCTTTGTGCAGCTGCTCATACAGCCGCAGCGCATGTGTCTGATAGCCACATACGACGGCAAAGTCATAGCATTTGCCTCTGCTACCATGGAAACACGGCATTCAACGCCAGGGCCGCTTGGTTCGAGCGGGGATCAGACTGGAGGAGGCGCCCTGCGGGTTACCTTGTTGACACTTGGGGTATCGCCCGAGTTCCGACGACAAGGCATTGCACGCAGACTCGTACATGAAATTGTGCAGCGCCTACGATCGTCTTGCGGGGCCCCTTGTCATGAATCACCTCCCGCCTCATCGCTCTCAGAGAGCGATTCGACTGATGCGGTGATTATATCCGCAGAGGTTGCGCGCAACAATTCGTCTGGACAATCTTTTTACTCCCACCTCGGGATGCAAAGACAACTAGAAGTGGATAAGAGCGGATTTGGTTCGAAGGCACACACGTGCATGGTACTGGGGGTGATGAGAACGATTCCTGTTTCCTGAAGAATACATCGTTAGATTTTTCAGGAGGCGTTCGCTGCAGAGACGATATTCACGAGCGTTATCAAGAATGCGCTAACATAAATTAGAAACTCGTAGTGAATTTATGTTCTCCATAATGATATCTGATGACATTTGTGTCTGCTTCTTGCTTCAACTAGAAGGTCGATAGGGCACTATAAACGACGACAGCCTGTGATCTGGGGGTACATGATATCACCTGCAAATGGCAGTCGATGAACCGAACCTGACTCGGAGCCCTGCCATATGATAGGTGAAAATCTGGCCCGGGGGTACATTCACCTGACCAAAGTCTTGAAGTCACGATAACCTATGATTTTATCCTGTTCAATCAGACACAAGCAGTTGGTAATAAAGAGTGTCCGAGAGGGAGTCTTATGGCAGGTTCATTGATCCAGAACATATGGGAGAGGGGAAAGTAGGGCGAGTCGGGAGAATGTCGAAATCCTACAATTCTCCCACTAGCTGGCATCATGAGAAAAAAAAAACAAGCATCCTACTATGTTTGTACATCAAGTCCTGATCTGCTACGTTTCACTGCAACTCCTGTGATAAATAAATCACTTTTATCAGTAAAGATCCGCGTTGAGACCTGTGTTTCGCAGCGCCACGAATACATCTCGCTATGAAGCGTGATTGATGATCAGCTGCGTGATCTGCATCTGTTTTAGTCTGGTGCACGGCTGGGTCCTGGCCGCATGCAAGTTTTGTCAAATGACCACGGGAGTTCTGGGAGGTGCAAGGGCAACTCCGAACGCGAAGTATGTGCAAACTCAAAAACCACGTTGGCATGTCCCAAAGCAGCTAGGGGAGTCTGAAAATAAGAGCGCCCCACTATAAAATCCATCACCCATTCTGTCTTTGTTATCAACCCGTTTCTTTTGAACTCTGATAGTTCAGGAAGGGCATTACTCGTCATCACACAATATCATGGCGGCAAAAGTTTACGTTGGGTACGTCGATGCTGCTTTGATCGTGTCGAGGAGCGATTTTACTGATGTCGGCATATCGATCAGGAATCTGAGTTGGAACACGACGGATGACTCCTTGAGATCGGTTAGTTCTTCTGCACGATTAGTCCGTCTTCGATGCTGATATCCACTTTACAGGCTTTCGGAGATTTTGGCAATGTTACTGATGTGCGCGATCTATTGAGGCGATCTCCCATCGTGGTCAAAGATAGACACCGATGATGGCAGATCGCCCATGGTTTTTTTTTCTGCGACTAAAATTGTTGTGTGCGCTCCTGCTCGTTGCACGTTTGCGTTTTTTTAGGCCATCGTGATGAAGGACCGTGAAACTGGCCGCTCTCGTGGTTTTGGTTTCGTCACCTTCAACGGCACTGAAGAAGCTGAGGCAGCCATCCAAGGAATGAACGAACAAGAGCTTGACGGTCGCCGGCTTAGGGTTAACCTGGCCAATGCTAGACCCAGTGGTGGGGGAGGAGGAGGCGGAGGCTACGGTGGAGGTGGAGGCGGCTACGGCGGCGGCGGCCACAGCGGCGGCTACGGTGGTGGCGGCCACAGCGGCGGCGGCGGATACGGTGGCGGTGGATACAGTGGTGGTGGCGGCGGTTACGGCGGAGGCTACTAAGCCCTCCAATGGTTTTGTGTTTCAAGATTGGTCGGTGTCGCAATTCTGTATGATGTTCAAAGGTCGTGTTCATCCTCGCCAAGCTACGATATTTCCGCATGCATTACAGTATCTGTTTGATCATAACGCAACTTAAATACTCGGTCGAAATTTGTATCAAAACATGTGTTCTCGAGATTCCTTTACAAATTTAGTTTTGAACGTGCGTGTCGGATCCTTAAGTTGCCAAGCATTTGCAAAGTTCAAGAAGACGGCCTCGAGGCTATTTTACCCGAGGAGCGGCTTAACTCCGTAATTCTCAGCGCGAATGATCAAAGCGTTGCCTACTATGACGGTCTAGGTTTATTGGCTCTGAAAAGGTAATACACTGATCAAAAACGTGTAACGGGGACATTGGTGAGGCAGCTACGCAGCACTGACAAGACTCTCTACTGTACAGTTGTGTACTATGGCCCAGAAACAAGAAAGATATCAAGTCAAACTTGAAGGCGGGTCGTCGAGGACTAATTCGTTTCCAAGATTAGTCCCTGGATGAAGGTTGCCGCCCGGTGCCACGCCGAAGCTAGGTAAAGCTAGTGGCCTTTTTTCGCCGGTCTTCTGGTCTTCGTTCACAACTCAGTGTTGAAGCAAGTCACATCTGAAACCGGGGATCGGTCGACGCAAGCAATTTGCCTTGTGGAACACCTTGTAAACTGTGGCAGCTGTCAAGCCAGTGACGAGCTCACTTTGTTTTCATGAACATCCAAGCGATGGCCGACATGGTAAGTGGTCCACGACTGCTCTTGTATAATGCGTACCTTCTGTCAAATCACTGTGGTTTGGTCATGGGAAGACCATTGAAAGAGCAGATAGTGGACTTTGTGGTACAGAAGCTGTGCTGAACTGGTCCACAGAGCAAACAATTCCAAAACAGTGTGGACCTACAAGGACCTACTAAAATGGGACCTGTCTTTACACATTTTCCCGCACTTCATCTACGACGCGACCTTCCAGTTTTTCCTCTTAACTACAACATTCATCCTCCCATTCAGAGGAACTTTCATACTCCAAATCATCTCAAGCTCTACACTTTATACTACGCTCTTCACCCGTTGCACCCTATGCCAGGTCCAATTAGATCGAAAGGAAAAGGTCGCGTAACGAATGATGAAGACGTCAAGCCCCCCCGCCCCCCCAACGCCTGGATCCTCTATCGCTCCGATAAGATAAAGGAGCTACCACCAGCAGAACCTGGTCAACGGAGCAGAGCACAGGCCGACGTTTCAAAACTTGTTTCTGACATGTGGCGAAAGGAGTCAGATGCAGTTAAATTAGAGTATGAGCGGCTCGCAGACGCGAAGAAGGCGGAGCACCAGCGTAAATACCCTGATTATAGGTTCCAACCGATGAAGAAGGAGGAGAAGGAACGCATCAGGGAAGAAAAAAAGCAGCTCAAGGAACGCGCTCGCGAGAGGAAGAAAACTCGCGGTCGCGCAGACGTAGTCGCCGGGCCCTCACAGGAGCAACACGATGCAGTTGTACCACAGCCAATGCAAGAGCCCGACCCACAACAAGGCATGCCAGCGATGGCATATGCACCTCCTTACCCTCTCCCCGGTGTCATGCCTGTCCAGAACCTCCCCTCTCACATGCCTTATCACAATTACACCTTCCTCGACCCGGAAATGCAGTTTGGACTCACAGGTTCATCACCACCGTTGTCAGCTATGTCATCGCCGAACCCGTCGTCTAACTCTGATTTTTCATCCCTCTCGGATGAACTTCTATTGCGGTTAGATGAGCTACCTCCAGTACGTATATCTCCCGCCCCATATGCGCAACCCACACAGCAGCCTTACGGTGGTCTTCCTCCGTTCTTCCAGGCATTCCCCCCTCCCCATAACTCGTACAATATGGAGTCTGCGCCTATGCAGCAACCGCAGGGTAGCTATGGTCAATGGCAAGCTCCACAAGATCACATCGTATCGCAGCCGTCTGGTTCTGTAGCTGCCCAACAACCTGCTTCCGGATGGGATGATTTTGACGCATCAAAGGTAACTTGTGACTACCAGCCGCAGGTATATCGCTTCTCAGCGCTATTGTAACCGTCACTAATTTTTTCATGTGCTACTCAGGATTTCTTGAACTTCGACCTTGCGGCTGCTAACAATTTGGGGACAATGCACGAGCTCGAAAGCTCACTTCAGGACATGATGTCATCTCCTGACCAGAACGGTGTCTTCGACGTTACAAAGATCAACCCTGGAGATGTCCCTGTTCAGCCTGAGGGCGACTTCGAAGTTGACATGGCCCCAAACCCTGACGCGCAGTCACAGGAATTTGAAAACTATTACAATAGTTTCGATATCGGGGCGGTACTTGCTGCATCGTCACACGAACACGAACCCACCACCGTGAATCCTTCCGCCACCGTGAACCCCACAGACACTTTTATCGACCCAAAGCTTTCGGTGGACGACTTCGCATCGTTCTTCAAGCTTAACCCTGATATTCAGGCTTATATGGCAGCGCAGCAACGTCAACGTCAGCCGAGTGCATTCACGCGCGACATGATGCAGTTCATCAACTTCGACGCGGGTGAGGGTGGACCGCAAAACGCTGCGGTGCCGCAGGTGGGCGCCCCTCCCCCTCCGCCACTACAAGGACAAGTGCCAATCTTCACACAGATGACGAACACCGCTGCTGTACCACAATCCGGCTATGTTCCCCCTGCTGGTGCAGCATATTCGTCAACACGGCGGGTTGGTGCGAGTTGGAAGCCGTCTTATGTCATTCCTGACGATTCTGTCATCGACCCTGCTCTATTCTATTGACCCTGCTCAGAGCATCGGCTTGCTAGCGGCCTTGCGTGATGAGTTCAAGAAGAAAACCGTCAGTACTTCCCCCTCCTCCCATTTCCAATAATGTTATTGATCTCGCTATAGATTGCTCGACTGGATCGCTTTGTTCATTATTTTCTCCCCAGAGATATCCACATCACCGCGGTATCATCCGCTCCCATGTGATATCCAAAGCGCTTGTTAATTATATTATGCGCGCTTTGCCGCACGTATACCCACGCATCATCTACAATCAATCTCATCATTTCCGCATTGCTGACATTTTGCTTGCATTCCATATTTCTATTGCTATCTTCACTCCATCATATCATCCAAATAACATATACCATGTTCTCATTTGTTCCCCGATGGTTTCCTATAATCTCATAGTCCCGCCTACTTCATCGAACTACGAAACACATCAAAATGGCAGTATTCTTTTGCCGGATGTGTACTTTTTTCTTGTTCAGTGTACAATATATACCGTTACGAACTTTCACGATCTAGCTAGGTTGCATATGCACATAATAGAATAAAACTTGGGCGTTCTTTCGCTGGCTGGTATTCTAGGCGTGTAAACTCCGCGAAAAAGCCCTCGTTGCGATGTCTCTTTCAGGAAAACAATAGGGTTCGAAGGTACGAAATCGACGGGATCATACAGCATTACCTATCGTGCCGTTGTTCCGCTATATTTAATTTAGCATATCGTGCAGGGACATGGGGGAATTGCGTGGCTTGTTGAAGTTTTCTGGGGTTTTTGCGTTCAAGCGATTTCAGGGCTTCGAAAGGACAATGAGATTTTGTTATCTCGGGGACTTATGGAGGATCAAAGCGGACGAAGAACTGCAGATGTTATAACCTCAAAAGGCTTGGTCCTCGTCGCAACCCTTCATCAAGATTGCGATTGCGTGGTATTATCACGTAGGCTCGGAACCAGCCTAGTACTAGTATAAACCACGTATGTCAGACTGGTCACAAGTCATCGTTTGCTAACATCTTTCATTCATAACTAGTATATTTAATATCTGCAGGTATCAAGAAGGCACAGGCGGAAGGCCCGTTGCCAATGCGATGGGGAGAATAACGATTTTCTCCTTGTCCCACTGCATCATAACAATCTCCGAATCAGCGCCCAAGCATCAATCACATCGTAACAACCAAGACACGCACCACATCAGCTGTATAATAAAGATCTTCCTCCACGATCTTGCGCACGGCATCGATGGTTTTGCCCTCGTAGATCAAGCACGATCCGACGAACTTCATGTCTGCTGCAGCTGCATCGACGGATTCGGGCGTCAAGAGCCCTCCGCCGACCCCTGCCAGTGTCAGGTTTCAAAGTGCTTGAGCGCCAGATATCCAGCTCGTGCTGAACTTACGTATAATGCCTTGATTGATGAGTTTCTTGGCGTTCTCGAGGTGGGCAGGTCTTACTGCTAGTCTTCGTTCGAGAGCACCCTCGTCGGTGTAGTCGGGCGCCCAGACGACGAAATTCGGTAGGGATGGTGTTGAGGACATGTCTCTCTTGTGGGTGTAGTTGTAGATGCTTCGCTGCGGGATGATCTTGAGAGCTCGTGTCGTCTCGCGGTCGATGATAAGTCGATTGGTGGAGGAGCGGGCCTGTTCGGACCGATTGACGTTCCATTGGCCAAGGTCACCTGCATCCGTTGTCCTCCCAGCTTTCAGGCCGCCAGTATGATTGACATCCTGTTTTAACTGTTTTGCTGACACTGGTTTTCTTTAATTGGTCCAGGGTGGGATAACTGGGCTAGTTTTGGATGTATCTCCTACAGGTACTAGGTGGAACAATCCGTCTTCCACTGTCAGGTGATCGATGAGGACAAACCGTGGTATGCTCGTAGGTGCCCATCGTAGTACCTAAAATAACTTACTTGCCTCGACTTTAACAGATTCATTCACAGCTAGCACCCTCACTATACTGCAGTCATGCTCCAGTCCGCTCTGAGCTAGATACGTCATGCACGTCTACCTTCATTCAGATCGAAATGACACCGCTCGCTTCATATCTTCCAACATCCCTGAAAATGCACCATTACACGGTTTTGGAACCAGACTGCACCGACGAAGTTACCCTCGGGCGTCGCATGGCTATTCGTCCTAAGCACCTGTATCAGCTAAGAAGCTCGTCGCACGACTCGGAGGAGACATCAGTCGGAGCCACCATTTCGAGTCTGAGCAGCTGAGCCTTCGATGTCTCACTGAAGATCTCACCACACCTTTTATTTGTCTGATATCAGTAAAACCTTCCAGTTACATCCGGCGTGCCAGGTGCAGATTCTCCAACTTTGTGATAGGAGGTATTTGAACGTGCCTGAAAATTCAGAGCTGGGATTAATCCATTAGGAAATAGTGACGACGAGAAGACTCATCTTGAGGACCGAGGTCTAGTCACAAACGAAAGGGGTAAATATTTGATATTGCGAAATTCTAGGCGGGATCCTGAGGCAAATCATTCTAGATTTCAAGGATACAGCCGAGGAAGATAACTTATCTGCATAGGCAATAGATAAGAAACTTTGAACAGTATGACATATAACGAAAGGGCATAATGTTCTTTCACTACAGAATACAGATAAATTCCATATTCACGACAGCTAGACAAACTTGATGACAATTACTTCCTTATACTGTAGTGCCAGCCTCAAAGCGTTGAGCTTTCGTTCGAAATTCGCGAACAAACAGCCTTCAAGGAAAACGAGGCGCCCATTTCTGAAGAGCCGGTGCACGCCGAGTACGACTTGTTCAGAGGAACATGTGACCTACAAGTCGGCGCACTGCAAATTTATGCTTGTTTGGATCAGACGGCGCAGGTCCGCATTCCCTACTGACATGGACGGTAAATACTAAACACAGGTCTTTATTGTGTTTGACTTCATTCTTACAATTTGTATAGACCTGACCTCGGAAGGAGAAACTGCTTCACCGGCTTTGTGTATCTCCTCGAATGTCATTCGAGTTGGCAGCATCGGGATTTCATGAAAGTGAACATCATCAATATTATTTTCTCTTTGGACCATGTTCGGAATACAACTTATTTAAGTACCTGACCTCCCAAGAAACTTCTCCTGCTCCTTACATAGCACCCAACAGAGAATTAAATTCCCTTGCTACACGCAACGGTGAATACGAAAATAAACACGTGATCACATAAGTTTCAAGTGGCGAGCAACTTCTATAGGCTTCATCTATATCGACATGTATCTGCCTCTTTCTTGTCTATTTTTACTGGGACTCAGGCCTCAGGAGTCAGGAGTCACAGTACCTAGGAGTTGGTTGTGAAATTTGGTCTAATTCTCGAAGCAATACTCGATACCTCACAGTTGCAGAAACGATAGTTCTGCTATGTGGTGAGTCAATCAAATCCACGAAAACTACTGATACTTACGCAAGTCCTCGAAGGACCGCTCTGGCATTCTCCGGTGTCCCTGTCCAAACACCCATTGGGGCATTCATCGGTGCTACTGCCAACAATGGACCTAGCAGAGATTGATGATGCCGAAGCAGCAGCGACGGCGAGGATAATCGCAAAGGTGAAACGCATTGTGTATGAGGATGTGATATGGGATCAAATAATTCTGAAGGGTTAGTAGGAATACACCTTTCTTTTATATGCTGGATAACGTCCCTTATTGGCTTTCAGAACCTATCCACCGTTGGTCCACCGAAATCCCTTTACTAGTCTCGCATCAGCGAATGTATTGAAGCTTTGAAGGTCTTCCGACATTCTTGCGTGGTTGTGCCGCATTCGACCACATGATATTTGTAACAGTGTTGGCCGCACTGACGCAGTCTGACCGGATTTGAGCGCTGAGCGCTGACTCGGACTAGTACTGACCCCTGACAACACTGATCTGTAATGCTAGCAGATTGCCCATATGTACGCACGTGCAAATATCGGATCTATCCTATATGCCATCCTACGAGCAATCCCCTTCTGGCGACAGTGCTACTGCATGTATACTTTAGATCAAAGGTATTCTCACTGCAGGTCAACGATTTTATGAAGGAAAAAGTATGTCACAGAAAAAGCGCTGGCCTGGTCTGAAGCCCAAATACTGTGCTGATAGTGTACGGACTCCGGACCGTGACACATGCCAGACTCTCGTTTACTGACAGGGCTAGATCAAATTTTCCAATTCTTATGACTCATACACTGTAAACGCGACAGAGATAAAAGGCGTTACAGGACGCAGCAGAAGCAAAAGAGCCCGCAACAATACAGCATGACGTGGTGGGCAAAGCGAATGAATTCGGACTCGTACGCCAACCCCTGAGATGTTAGAGTACCGATAACATCAAAATGGCAGTATTCTTTTGCCGGATGTGTACTTTTTTGTACAATATATACCGTTACGAACTTTCACAATCTAGCTAGGTTGCATATGCACATAATAGAATAAAACTTGGGCGTTCTTTCGCTGGCTGATATTCTGGGCGTGTAAACTCGCGACAAAACTTGCGATGTCTCTTTCAGGAAAATTCAATAGGGTTCGAAGGTACGAAATCGACGGGATCATACAGCATTGCCTATCGTGCCGTTGTTCCGCTATGATATCGTGCAGGGACATCGGGGTATTGCGTGGCTTGAAGTAACATCTTTCATTCATATCTTTAATATCCGCAGGTATCAAGAAGGCACAGGCGGAAGGCTCGTTGCCAATGCGATGGGTAGGATAACGATTTTCTCCTTGTCCCACTGCATCATAACAATCTCCGAATCAGCGCCCATTGCAAGCATCAATCACATCGTAACAGCCAAGATACGCACCACATCAGCTGTATAGTAAAGATATTCCTCCACGATCTTCAACTACACACGGCATCGATGGTTTCGCCCTCGTAGATTATGCTCCAGTCCGCTCTGAGCTAGATATTCCATGCACGTCCATCTTCATTCAGATCGAAATGACACCGCTCGCTTCATATCTTCCAACATCCGTGAAAATGCATCACTACACGGTCTTGGAACCAGACTGCACCGACGAAGTTACCCTCGGACGTCGCATGGCTATTCGTCCTAAGCACCTGTATGAGCTAAGAAGCTCGTCGCACGAGGAGACATGAGATAGGGCCACCATTTTCGAGTCTGAGCAGCTGAGCCTTCGATGTCTCACTGAAGATCTCACCACACCTAGATATCAGTGAAACCTTCCAGTTACGTCCGGCGTGCCAGGTGCAGATTCTCCAACTTTGTGATAGGAGGTATTTGAACGTGCCTGAAAATTCAGAGCTGGGATTAATCCATTAGGAAATATGAAGACTCATCTTGAGGACGGAGGTCTAGTCACCAACGAAAGGGGTAAATATTTGATATTGCGAAATTCTAGGCGGGATCCTGAGGCAAATCATTCTAAATTTCAAGGATACAGCCGAGGAAGATAACTTATCTGCATGGGCAATAGAACAATTACAATCATTTACAAATACGAAACTTTGAACAGTATGACATATAACGAAAGGGCATAAGGATACCTCCGCCAACGATGTCCGGATACTTGACCTCGGAAGGAGAAACTGCTTCACCGGCTTCGTGCATCTCCTCAAATGACATTCAAGTTGGCAACATCGGGATTTCATGAAAGTGAACATTATCAATATTATTCGCTCTTTGGACTATGTTCGGAATATAACTTATTTAAGTACCTGACCTCCCAAGAAACTTCTCCTGCTCCCTGCATAGCGCCCAACAAGGATTCCCGTGCTACACGCAACTGCCAGTTGACACGTGTACATGCTCTTGGAAAATAATTGAAGTCATGTTCGTTCCTGCGTCAGAGGTGCCTATAAGTTTAGCGTGGTGTTCTCGAACGTCGAGGATGAGGCGTGGACCAAGTACAAACATCTGCACCATAGCGATGATGACAGAAATGCCAGAATATATGACGACTCCCATAGAATCTGAGTCCTATAAGAATGATGAATAACAGTCGCATGCAGTGAACGACCGGCATACCGCGATTGTTGGAGCAAAAGAACCGAAGTTCAAGCAAGATGCAGCAAAAAAACTGGTTCGTGCGGAACTTTAGCGACAATGATAACCAAGTCAAATTATGAGTTTACCTTCCAAAGTAAAATACGTGAGATTTTATCAACTCTCTGAGACAGTCCCCAAGGGTCGATATTCTGAATCGTCGCAAGCCTGAGTCACGGAATTGTTTTACAGCAATCCAGACGGCAAGACACAGTGCGAGGACCTCCCATACAGTGTTGAGTATATAGATCACTAATACCAGATTTGGGTCACCCGTGGAGCTGTGAGTGCACTGGTAGGTACCGGAGAGAATGAGCTCCTCTAATATTCGTCGAGTCAGCCTGATTATTTGATACATAACTAGAACTTACCTCCTGAAGTATTGCTGAAGCCTACTGCAGCGACCACTGCAGAAGTGGTGTTGACAGTCAGGAAGATTGCGATGAGAAAGATAAGTATATTTCTCGATCCTTGATACATGGCATATAACCGAACGATCATGATAGCTGACATCATGTGTCAGTCGACATCACTCAGGTATTGCAGCTGAGTCGCTTACCACCCAGAATGGCGGTCACGACCACATTTGCCGAATTTAGTGCGAAGTCGGTAATTTCGCCTGAAACGCTCGTTTAGTGCTTCATAGAACCAAACACTCGAAAGGAACCTACATCTGTCAGTTATTATATTGAACCGACAATCCGGTCGAGAATATCACTCACTCCTTGGACGTAGGTAATTGGGACGGGTAAAAAATAGGCATCAGCGCAGAATACTCACTACATCTGTCTGCGAGACCGATGGAAGGTTCCCTGTATACCATCGATCAGAGGAACCAACCACACTGTATGCAAAGACAACATACATAATATGTTGTTGCTGATCGTAAGTGATAGCTTATTAGCAGTGCCACATTGTTAGCTTCAAACATACATAGCATTATGATATTATTCCAGCATAGCGCATCTAGAATACTTTGATGTCAGCACAACTTGTCAACGTTCATAACCCATGCGACATACGCTGAAATACATGATGGTCATAAGAGACCAACGCTGCCTCTGCCCGAATTGACTGTATCATTCTGTCGTCTTCTGATATGGGATTCTGCTCACCCAAACCAGTTCAACCTATGATACAATTTTGAGCAAGATGCCTGCTCCGGTAATGAGATCAACCTACCTCTCGTCCAAGTGTTAGTACTAGAGATATATAATGAGCATATCAATCATTTTCGACGTGTACTACTTTGCTCACCCCAATCGTATATCACCACAGCGGAGGCTACCACTGCAAAACCGCAAGTCCAGGTTAGATCGAGACGCCGCCACCATCATACAAGTGGCTCTCAGCGTACCTACAAAATAGGAGATTGAATGCGTGAATGAAATTGTCGGCCACCAAATGGGGTCATTTGAGATTAGAGTCATATTCGAGGATGAGGATGGGTGAAAGTGAGTAGGATACTTTGTGAACGTATAACGATGATGCTAGACTAGACCTTATATTCTGAATCCACCACTCGGCATTAATATCATGTACTAATGTGAGACGGGTATTTATTCCTGAGGCCCGAGGCTGGAGACCCTTGATTGATTACTGAACCCGGGTAGATTTGTAGTCATCTAATACAGGTCTGGACGTGTTGTAATCTATCCTCGACGAGTGTCGGCATGACAGTGGCGGCGATTGGCCTCGTTGGCCTCGACCCGGTCGTAATAGCACAAGATAGAAATTCTAGAATGCGCTGAAATGAAGCAAACAGATAACTCACCTGTTCCGCCGACTGTCAACACCCTCTGCAACGCGGCCTGTAAGCAAGCCCCTCGATTCTCAAAGGCCCTGCTCCTCCAACATCTGTTACATTATGCCTACTCCATCGCTCTCTGTCTTGGTCGTCGGGTTATCATACATGAGGATGGGATAAAAACTAATGCAAAACGCACTAACGTTGTGTGTCGGGTAGTTGCGACATCTCATGACAGGCATTGTTCTTTTTTTGTCCCACCATCATGCCATGATGATGAAATAAAAGCTATGCATAATTAACGTTACGGTAAATGCCATGCATGCAAAAGACACTAACGCTGCACATCGCGTGCGCGTGTAGTTGTTGTTCAGTATTCTTTTTTGTCTCACCTTCCCACGGTCCATTGAATGAGCGTATGGAACTTCATCACATTCTCTGCACGAACTTCACGAAGCCAACTCTACTCACTATGGAAGTGCGATTTTAGCTCCACCGTAATCCGAGGGTGTTTAAGCGTATAACTGGATACGGTACGGACGTAAGACCTATCGACTTACAATAGCTAACTGGTCGTGAGCTCTTTGGCTCTGATGACAAACCGAGTCGTGTGCATTGTTGATGAGTGTCACCTTTTCAAGGGAAAGTGCTGTGAAACCTATGGCTATCAAGGCTGCAAATTGGTGCGTTGTTTTTTCATGGATATATGTAGTACTAACCAGTGTTGCTTTTTGATCGAAATTGCTCATTCATAGTGCACATAGTCACATGATCGGGTTGGACTGCTAGGTAGCTGCCAAATGCCAGAGCATACTCTCTATTACTTGTGTTTGTCCCTTCTGTGAGCGGGCTCCAACAAATGTTTATTTGATTCATTCAGTCTTGCTACATCGGAGACAAGGCGTGCAACAGTCGAATTCAAATACTGGATCTGACCTTCGGGTGTGCTAGGAGTGCGATGATAAGGATCCATGCATAGTGTTGCTGGTTGCTGACGAAACGCTGAATTGAGAAGCGCTTCCACTCGGCCCCTGCGACGGCAATCGCGATGATGGCTCACTACCTGTGAAAGACGCGTGTGAATTATAGCCATAGTAAGGAGCTTCACCTCGCCGAGAACCCGAGTTTGACGAGTAGTCAGGTACAGCAGGTCTGCATCAGTCGCAGGTTCGTGTCATAGTGATGCATCAAACAGGACAGCTCTAGCGGATCTGTGATGCATCATTGGTGCAACTGCACAGTGAGTGGAACTTTGCCACGTATTTCTCGACTCGTCTCGATTCTCTCTACCTACGTCCTGGAGCTTGTTTTTTTCCTAGTTCTTGTGCACTGGCAGTATTAATCGGATCTCCCTGGACTATCGTTTGGGGAGATCCTTTTGCTGGCTTAATCCCATAGCCTGCGCTCTTGCGAGGCTTAGTGTGCGCCATGGACTAATCTATGCCCTCCTTAATAGTGCTACTATTGTCTGTATCTTTCAAGTTACACGTCTGATCTACAGACACCTCCCAGTTGAACGAAAATTCCAGGCCAACTCCAGTATGTGATTGGACCGATACTTGATGCACGTCGATCAACTCGATCAATCACTAGTAACTTGCGCGTCCCATACTGCATCGATGTGAAGGCAGAAATGCGACTCACCACGCAGAGTTGAAGTCCCTGCAACTGCCATGCAGGTGAGTCGTGTATCAAATTCAAGAAAACTACTGGTACTCACGCAAAACCCATAATAGCAAGCGCCGCATTGTGAGTCAACCGAGCAATACCAGGGACATTCATCGTCGCGCGAATCAATGGGCGTGGCAGAAATTGATGATGCCAAAGCAGCAACGACGGCGAGGACAATTACAGAAGAGAAACGCATTGTATTTGAGGGTGTGATTTGGAATCAAGGGTTAGTAGAAAGACACCTTGCTTTTATATACTGAATAACGTCCATTAGGTTTCACGAAAAACGTATCTACTGGAATCCCTTTATTAGCCTCGTGTCAATCGAATCTCCAAGCTTTGAAGGTCTGCTGAAATTCTTGCGTGGTTGTGACGCATTCGACCTGCAGTGCCAGCAGATTGCGAAAGATCTTTTGGCAGTTTGAGGACATGTGATCCCAGAACATTCGTCGCTCTGACGTCATCCGAAGTCACAACGTCCAAACTTTCCTATCTGCACCAGCATAGTCATCGTCACATATGTCATAGCAAACTGAATCATGTATCAAGCTCGTTGTGTCTCACGCTCTGTTCTCGCTGGGTGCAACTACCTTGCATGCAACGCCAAGGAGGAAGTGCACAGATTTGTCTTCATCGTCAATGATAGGACTAGCTTGTTGAAGATTTTCTGGGGTTTTTGCGTTCAAGTGATTTCATGGCTTCGAAAGGATAAATTTTGTTGAGGATCAAAAGCGGACGGAGAGCCGCAGATAACCTTGAAAGGCTTGGGCCTCGTAGCGGCCCTTAAGCTTCATCAAGATTGCGATTGCGTGGTATCATCACGTAGGCTCGGGCCTAGTACTGGTATAACCGCGGACAAGTCGAGCGAGCAAAGACGTATCATACTAATGTCAGACTGATCACAAGTCTCATTATCACGTCGATTGCTAACATCTTTCATTCATAAGTAGTATCTTTGATGTCTGCACGTATCAGGAAGGCACAGGCGGAAGGCCCGTTACCAATGCGATGGGGAGAATAACGATTTTCTCCTTGTCCCACTGTATCATAACAGTCTCCGAATCAGCGCCCATACTAATCAATCACATCATAACAGCCAAGACGCACCACATCAGTCTTATAATAATGATCCTCCTCCACAAGCTGACGCACGGCATCGATACTTTCGCCCTCGTAAATCATGCACGAGCCGCGAAACTTTCTGTCTGCTGCAGCTGCATCAACAGATTCGGGCGTCATGAACGCTCCAGCAACCCCTGTTGAATTTCAAAGTGCTTTAGCGTTAGGTGCATAACTTGATGAACTGAGTTACGTAGGACGCCTTGACTGATTTGTTTATTGATGTTCTCGAGGTGGGCAGGTCTTACTGCTAGTCTTCGTCCGAGAGCACCCTCGTCAGTGTAGTCGGGTGCCCAGACGACGAATTTCGGTAGGGATGGTGTTGAGGACATCCTTCTCTTGTGGATGTAGCTGTAGATGCTTCGCTGCGGGATGATCTTGAGAGCTCGTGTCATTTCCCGGTCGATGCCAGTTGCGATAAGTCGATTCGTGGAAGAGCGGGCCTATTCGGACCGTCACCGATTGACCACCTGAGTGACATAAGAAGTGAGGGTAATAAACCTCGGAAGCGGGGTTAGCCGGCGTGGGTTATTTGCCTCGGATCCAATGGTCCTCTACACCAGCTTTACCACCAGCTTTACCCCAGCACTTGTACCAGCTTCTACTACATAAGATAGACCTCGTTCATACACCAGTTCATCACGTGACCTAGCGTGACATTTCAATGAATTTGCATATAACTCGTCGTACACAAAGTGTGAGCGAAATCTGTTCCAAGATTATGTGTGGACAGTCTGTAGCAAGCTGGACATGTAATTTTTATGATCTAATGTAAGAAACTGAAGGACGAGTAGGCATTATATTGTCAAAATGTCCCAAGTGAGCACCACCAACGTGACAGATGCGCTAGATTAGTGACAGACACGCTAACTCAAAATGAGAAGCAAAAAAATTGAACTACAGTCTATCTACCTCACTATGCCACGAAAGAGGCCTTCAAACATAGCAAACTTTGCTGGTGCCACTCATCAAAAACGGCAAAAGTTCAATGACAAAAATGTAATAATTTAGTGACTTACTTGTTCACGGCTCACCACAATTGCAGGCAACACCTTTCCCCGGATCCCACCCCACAAATCCCCCTCTGTGTTGGCACTTAAAAGCAAGAGATGCTGTTCGGTCCGCGATTGAGGAGCCTCGTACTGAACTGGAAACTGCAGGATTAACTTGATCAGTAGCACATATACTTGATACCTCATGTTGAATTTAATTATTGATTCTCGAACTTGAACGGCTGTTGAACGTTGTGTTGAACATCATCGAAATCGTTGAAATCAAACGGCCGCTTCAATTGTTTATCTCCCTCGCGTCTAAGTCCGAGTCACTGATACGGTCACATCAGTCACAAATGGGTCACAATGGTGAATCTGCTACAAAAATGCCTACTCCTCCTTCAATTCGCCGAAAATAAGGATTCTGAGTAGACCATTTTTATATTGTAGTACATCCCCACAAGATCTTGGAACAGATTTAGCTAATTCTAAGTTTAAAAAGAGTTACGAGCCAAAATCATGTATTCTATCCTCAAATCACGTGATGAACTGGTGTATGAACGAGGTCTATCTTAGATTACGGACACTGTAAGATAAACGTAGATATAGATTACTCTAATCAGCGCTGATAACGATCTTGTCAGCGCCGGCACTGTCCGCAACGTCGGGAACGTCGGGAACGTCGGAGGGCGCGCAGATATAGTTCGGCAAACCCCTCCCGCATATATCTACCTCTTTCTTGTCGATTTTCACTGGGACTCAGGCCTTAGGCCTGAGGAGTCGGTACCTAGGGTTTGTTGTAAAATTTGGTTTGATTCTCGAAGCAATACTCGAAACCTCACTTTGCAGAAAGGAAAGTTCTGCTATGCAGGTGAGTCAATCAAATCCACGAAAACTACTGATACTCACGCAAATCTTCGAATCACAGCCCCGGCATGCTCCGTTGTCCCAACACCAAGTGGAGCATTTATCGGTGCTAGTGCCAATAATGGGCGTAGCAAAGATTGATGATGCCGAAGCAGCAGCGACGGCGAGGATAATTGCAAAGGTGAAACGCATTGTGTATGAGGATGTGATATGGGATCAAATAATTCTGAAGGGTTAGTAGTAGGAATACACCTTTTTTTTATATGCTGAATAACGTTCCTTATGGCTTTAAGACCCTATCCACCGTTGATCCACCGAAATCCCTCTACTAGCCTCGCGTCAGCGAATGTGCGAGCTTTGAAGGTCTCCTGACATTCTTCTTGCGTGGTTGTGCCACATTCGACCACATGATATCTGCAATGCCAGCAGATTACCCCAGATGTACGCACGTGCAGATCTCGGATCCATCCTATATGGCATCCTACGAGCGATCCCCTTCGGGCGACAGTGCTACGGTATGTATACTTCATATTTCGCGCGATCAAAGGTATTCTCACTGCAGGTCAACGATTTTATGAAGGAAGAAGTATGTAACAGAAAAAGCGCTGGTCTGGTCTGGAGCCCCAAATACTGATAGTGTGCTGATAGGACATATGTCAGACCTCCCGTTTACTGACAGGGCTGGATCAAATTTTCCAATTCTTACGACTCATACATATGCGCGACAGAGATAAAAGGCGTTACAGGACGCAGCAGAAGCAAGAGGACCCGCAACAATGCAGTATGACGTGGTGGGTAAAGTGAATAAATTCGGACTCCCTTGAGTAAACGTGCGATGTCAGAGTACGGATATGTTCCGTGAGGAAAAATACGAGGTAGATCTAATTGAAGTTGGTTGTACAGACAATCCCTATGGTATCCTCCCATAGGAACGCACGCAAAGATGCGGCAAATATGCGCTAAGACCCGATGACTGTCGGCATTGAGCACAGTGATGACGACAGGTCAAATTTACTCTGCACTTTTCAAATGCATCACACTCTGAACACCGTTGGTAGAACAGGCAAACTTATGCGTTTCCATCGAGCCGACTTCCATGGCGTACTGCTCTCATTTCTTCCACCGTCCTGCGCAACGCACAACGCCAAGCGACTGATATCATACACCCAGCCCTTGGAAGGCAGTCCGAGAAATTCACCAATTACGCTAACATTCATGGATGGATCAACTGCCACGTGCGATGTTTTAAGATCAAATCTACAGTCCAGCCCTGCATGTAGCACGAATTGGCTGAGGGCCTAAATCCCGATGAAAAGCAATCTGTGCTATCTTGCATGAGCCCAATCTGGAGCGGTGTTGCTGCATACAGAACACTCGTTTCCGCAGAGAAGCTGCGCGCGCGTTGTCCTGATCACCGTACCTTTAAGAGAGTTTACTCAGGTAAGCTTGATTCCTGTTGCATTTCATACATTAATTTGGCGAGGCGCCTTCATTCACAGTACATGGGAAAAGATGCTGTGAGACTCTTTAATCAACGATTTGCACTGTGCTGAGGCTGATGCATTGTAGTACTTTCTTGCATACCCCATTTCTCTTGGTCAATTTTGCGGGTTTCATGCTTGAACGCGATGTCGTTGACTTGGCGTATAAAGCCGACACAGAAATTCCTCGTCCGTCTTTCAAAGGGAAGACAAACGATGAGTGGGTTAGTGAACTGACTTCTCAGCAGTTAACTTTGTTGAGCCTTTCAAAGACTTGGAAGAGGATGCACAGCACCTTCTCGAGGTCTGTCGTTCGTATCTGAGTTACTGTTCATCACTGACGATTTCCGGTGTGTGGAAAAGGGCACGCTTTGGGCTGTACATTTAGAGGTTCGAGGCGAGCGGATCAGGAGGGAGCTAGTAGATAGGGACAATATATCTCAGTCTATATTTTGGGACTCTTAGTCCATGTACAGTACCTAGTAGATAGGGACAATATCTACTCGTTTGAATCAGTACGCGCTCTAAAGTAAGTTCGAAAGTAACAACTCACATCTCAGTCTATATTTTGGGACTGAGATGTTCGTTCGATACATCAGGAAATTCTCACATTTGCTTTATGTACTTAAATGACTTGATAAGCACAAATAAGTAGGAACGATGGATAAGTAAACATTGACTTATTCAGACCAGTCGATCTCTTATTTTCGTCTTAATTTCACTTATCCCTCTGGTAGTAAGACGAAAAAGTGATCATTGGATCCAAACAGTACGATAAGCGAAGTAATGAAACACCACAAAAAGTCAATTAATAGGATTTATAAAACGAGCGGACAAAGCGGTCGAAATTGTGAGTGAGCGAAACTTCAACTTGAATACTGTGATGAAGGGCAATACGAAGGAAGGTGGCGGCGGTTGAACCTTGAATGGTACGAATGCTGCGGTGCTGACATGTAGGTGCGTCACAACTTGAATATAGCACCACCATGACAATATAGTATTCTGTTGAGATAAGAAAAGAGGTCAGTGATGTTGATGGTGCGGGAAGAAACTAATGTTACAAATGAGGGCACGGTCGTTGATACTCTCCTCCACGTCATCGTCCAAAAAGTCCGTGTTCGATGTCTTCATAAGCTTTCGTGCGCGCACAATAATGTTGAGTTTTGTTTCCTCATCCCTGCTACTGATTGATTTCATGTATGACTCCGTCTCTTCGTGCCAATTCGCGAATGAAAATTTATAATTTCCGCTCGACATCTTCCCTGTCACCTTGTTGAGCGTTTTTGGGAGTTTGACGCCAGACTTGCCAGTTGTCATGGATGCGAGAATGTCTTCGACCTTGATGACTTTGTCTTTAACGAACTTGAGGGCACGTTCAAGCTAGAAACAATCAGAAAAGCAAATTTCAGATAAAAAAAACCTCACCGCAACAACACAAAGCACGATGACACCGTCCATGCCTTTACCCAAGGCAAGCTCATCAGTATATAACGCAGGGACATCAGCATGATCGACGATGGCGCTGAGATGAGTGGATGCGATCATTCGCAGTACAAACACTGATAGGTAGGCTGTGTCCCGTGATATATTGTCTGGGTCTTCATACATGAAGGCGTAATTCTGGAGGAATCGCTTGGCAATGTCGGCGTTTGGTGCATCCGTGATGCACGAGCAAAAATCGACGATGATGGCAAGTGCCGTGGAACCAATGTTGCTCCTCCACTCCGAGAGTCGCTGTTGCGCCTAAAACAGCATATGAAAGATGCAGCACAAAATGTATTAAATGAACTTACTACTGCAAATACTGCACCGTTCGTATTTACCTTGTATTTGACATCAGGGTAGACTGTATCAAAAATCTCCTGCAGTGCGTCTGCCATCACAGACTCAGGTATTTCCCATGGATTAGGTTGACTTCCAGCCCAGAGAAGCGTGGTAGACAAGAAAGCCTTCACCCACTTTGAGTCAGCAGGTATGGGAAGATCGTTGTTGCGATATTGACCACGGGGCTTGATGACCTCCTGTGCAGCAGTCTTCCCGGCATTTGATGGGACTTGGGTGCTGGGGGGAGGCACAACATCATCATAATAGCCTGCCGGGACCTGAGTGGAGGGTGGAGGCACAACATCGTCATAATAGCCTGCCGGGACCTGAGTGGAGGGTGGAGGCATGAGATCGTCGTCATCAGTAACCTTGGAGGCTCTGGAGCGCTCTCTCTTCAACTTTTTTGGTGGGGGAGGGGTAGCGCTCTGAGATACAATGGTAGATGCCTCAAATATACAAACTGAGTCGGTTATGCAAGAGATAAAATAAACACGCACTGATGTAGTCTTGCGAGGGGCATATACCTTCTTCTCCGAGTCAATGATGGCCTCGGACAAGAGGCCTGTCATTTCCTGCGAATCATCAATCAAAATGTCAGAATCATCCGTGGCCTCGGATGCAGTCTCGTCAACAAAATCTGCAACATCATCCGAAGCCTTACGCTTGACACCACCAGACTCTGCAAAATAAGTTATCTGCTCCGGCTCAGAGTCACTCTCACTAGCGGGAACGATTACAGTAGACTTCTAGAATCCAGGTTAGTCCTTGAACAGAATGGTTCATGGAAATAATGACTTACTCTAACTGCCTGTCTCCCTTTCTTCTGAAGTGCAACTGGATGCCGTTCCAAAACATCAGAGCCATCAAGGCTATCATCGCTAACCATCAGGACATCGTCGGTAGATTCGGAGAATATGTTGAGTTCGGTTGGCTGCTTCTTGTCAATGGCCGCAGATTTGGTCTTAGAACTAGTGTTAGTACTGGTGGTGGACAACACTGATGAGGGCGGAGTGGAAGCAGCTTGAGATGCAGAATAGGTGTTCGATTTGAGACTGGTTGCATTGGACTTTGGGTCAGCTTGTGGTGGGACATTGTTGAACCAGCCATCGATAAAACTGTTGAGTGACGATTTTTCAGTCGTCCTTGAAACCACACGGTTAATAAAGAATAGAGTTGACTCGGTGAGTAAAAACATTGGGAAGCAAGTGTGTTGACTCACGATAATGCCGCATTGTTGCCTTTATTGTTACTGATGGCACGTGCATCCGAAGCAGCCTTCAATCCAGAACGGGCATTTCTGATCGCTTCCTTCAGTAACATCGTCTTTTCCTGCTTCTTTGTCTTGCCGCTTTTTCCAGCAGCCTCATCAATCTCACTGTCTCTGAGAAGCGTGTCCTCTAGGTAAGTGTCAGTTTCAGTTACTACTCTTGATAGGAGGCTCATACCACTTGCGGTGTCCTTCATAGACACTTTGTTACCTTTGCCTGTAGGACGAGGACGGGGCCGAATAGGTTTTGGCTTGCTTTCATGCATTTTGGCTTCAAGAGTCTCCATGCCGTCTTCAATTCCTGCAATTCGTTCAGCAACCTTTTGAATCCGGGCATTCCTCTCTTCAGGGCTTTCATTTGCGTATGGGGTATTAGCAACTTTTGAAGTCTTGGTACGAGGTTTTCCCTTTGCATTCTGGAGCCGCTCCTCAGCTTCAGCCTCCAGAACAGGCCTACCAGGATGAGCATTTGCGTTTGATGGACGAGTCCGACGCGTGGACACTTCTTGTGAGGCTTTGGGGGGCATAGCTGACTGACGGAGATGATGGGAGGCGAGGACGAAATGAAGCGAAAAGTTCAAGGTAAAATTTGCATGGTACTGGCCCCGTCAATTTGCACAAATATGCGCTCACACTTGTGTTACGTTCCAGAACTTACTACTTGGGCTCAATTTTCGTACTGCTACGTCTAGTCCCAATTCAGTTCTATACGCCAAAGTTCCCGTCAACTAATATTCTTCAACCGGCACTCTAGCACGCATGGCACCCTGCTCTACTCAGTATTCTCGAAGGAAGCATAACTCGTTTCAGTTACCCTGCGGTCATCCTGGATGCAATCAACATTTCAAATCTCAAGGCGGGCGAACAAGACACCGCACCATCATGCACCCAATCCTGTGCCACCCAAGGACCAATGAACCTGCGCCGCAGGATATGGATATCAG